TTGCTGCTTTTGCTGCAGGAAACTTTTAGGGCCTTTACTACAGATAGGCACGTTTGTTGCCTTTCTGTCCTCTGAGAGAGATCAACTTTACCATGAATCACCCCTTTTGCTACAAGCTCTGTCACTTGACTGCTGCATTTCTTCTGGACTCTTAAATGAGCGCTATCCAGCAACAGAAGTCTTGCTGAACATTTTTGCCTATCCTATCTCTTCTTCTCATAGTAGCTCAGCTTTACTACCTGAAAAAAATGCATCCCCTCTAAATCTACTACAGTGAAAAACAATGCAAAATTAATTAAACATCCCTAATGCCTTTATCCTCAAAAACTTGTTTCCACAGACCTAGACCATATACCCCAATATATTAATAAATTGATCAATTGCAGAGTTAAGGAAATCTGATTTCCTGCGGCATTCTTGCTTGTCTCCCTGGCCAATAACTGCATCATTCACAAGCCTGCTCCCTACAATATTTTAAAGATCTCTCCTCTCCCATGTCCCCTAACTTACAAGCAAGCAGCAGCACGGTTGCACTGCACATGTTGCAGCTAGTTCCAGATTAAAAGCCTATTCACTGCTGATGAATATATGTATTCTGACTGGCCAGGTAGCAGTCCAAACAGAACGTATTCTGCTGATCACTTGATTTTAGCTCTCAACAGAAGCACTGTTAGGGATCTTGCACTTCTATCCACTCAGTGTTCATGAAACTGATAAGAACATAATATCCTTAAGACAAATTTAGTCGATGCTTTGGGGCATTTGAGCAGGGTTGTTGGGGTTTTTTTTTTTGTTGTTTTGTTTCTTCGTTTGTTTTCTTACGACCTTCTGAGCTCAGATACTTCCTTATTACTCTACTCTGCCAGGAACTTATCTGGCTAATGTTGGATCCTGGAAGGCACACCTTCCACACGGATCTCTGCGCTGCTTGCTCTCAAACTCAACAGGCAGTTAACTACACAAACAGCCCGCTATTTTTGGATACTGTAGAGCATTGTTGTTGGATAGTGAGTACTGCAAAAATCAGACAGTGGTTTAAAGATTTCTGATGGGTACAGGTATAGAATTTGCATTGTTTGCCATATCTTCAAAATCAGTTTTATTATCAGACTTTATGTAAACACACAAAAAATGGTAATACTGTGTTTTTTTTCAGTAAATACAATGGAATAAAATTCCTCAAAAGTAAAAAATAAAACTCATTATTAATGGTTATAATTAACAATAAGGATTCTCCCTAGCAGCTTCAGTTTCCCAGCTGCTCTTGGAAAGAAGTAATATATTCAGAGTACCCAGGCCCCAAGACACAGTTGGGCACAACACAGAGAAGCAAGGCAAAGACAAAGGCATTCTGTTTATATGTAGAAGTTGCTGCCCTCAGAAAAGAAACATAGCAGTATTACTATTTTTCAGGGTCTCTCCCTCTTTTGCACACATATCCAAACCAATAGTCCTGATCTTGCCATTAGCCATAAGTCCAGATATCAAGTCCCTTTTATACCAGCCAGGTGCTTTCAAACAAGCTATACTAATACAAAGTTTCTGGAGTGACTTTAAACAACTCTATTTGTATCGTTTAGGTAAGCAATGTTCTTTTCCAGGGGTCGTCTTTGCGGCAATTTATTTTAGAATGCTTCAACTTTAGAAGAGCAATCATATTTCAAGTGGCTAAACAGAGGTGTGAAAAGGGGGAAGCAACAAGTCAGCATACCCTGACGAAAAACGCGTGGGAAAGTAATGTTCTGTTGAACTAAACCATCTTACTCCAAGGTCCATCTCCAACTCTCTCCCAGCTCCCAGACCCTCATTTCTCCTATGCCAAAGCCACCAGTGTTTCATAACCCAGTCCTCAAACTCTCTCATCCCAAGAGTCTTTCCCCCTTTCAATCCAGCCCAGTGCTCTTTGACTTCTCACTCCTCCCCAACTCTTCCCTAAATCCTCTCCCACATGTTCTTCTACCTCTTCTGCCCCTGCCTTCCCCAGTCCTGCTTAAGATTAAAATGCCTGTCTGCCCACATCCATAACCATGCAGTGCTCACAAATAGCGTCACCAATATCTACCCTCCTGTAAATCCCCCTCCCCAAACTGCCAGCCTACTCTGCATCTTCCTAACCTCTCCTACTCATTCTATTCCCCTGCTTCAAATCCACATTCATACCAGTCTCCCAGCCCCAGGTCTCTTGTTCTAGATCCCTCAGCTCTGAGATCAACCCCAACCTGGCTCCTCCACTGTTGCTTGTACAGGCACTTGCTGCCATACCATTATGGTTTTATTGGATAATGGCACCTCTTATCCCCTGTATTGACATTACAGCCTTGTCTTTCCAGATCTATCTTCCCTGGTCCTTTCTGCAAGCCAGAATTTTAAGAGATCTGGACCAAAAAATGATGAGAACAGGACTTAGGTGACAGAAGAGTAGAATGTGTCAAGGAAAAAAAAAAAGCACAAGTGGTAGCCATACGCTTTAGCTATGTTCCTTTGGGCCTTGCAGTTCTGTCTGATCCTTCCAAAATTTCACTATTGCAGGTATGATTAAGGTAATAGTCTCAGCCTAGAAATTGCTGTGCCTCATAAGGTCAGTACTGAAGAATCAGAATGTCTTGAAAGAACAGAAGCAAATTGTCCTCAACTAAACCATCCAAATTTTCATACTGAGCAGCCTTCAGATTTCATCTCTCCAAAGAGATTATTGCTAAAACATGGCCTGGAGAATCACAGAAGAAAGCAGATGTCTAGAATTGAATAGATTCAGGCTCAGAAAGGAAACTTATCGTCAGAGCCCAAGTTCTGACCTTTTCACTGCCTCATGAATCCCTTTATACATGGATGTCCATAATGACGACAGAAAACCGCTAACACTCAACCCAGTCCATGTTCCTGTATTTCAGTACAGAAGCAAAGCCTGTTCTGTGTAGCCTAATATCAAGGCCACTCAGGTAAAAAAGCTACATCGCATGCGAGGAAATAAGGTCTTCACTGTTTGCTTGTTACAAAGAAGGGAATTAGTCAGCACCCTCATTCTTTACGTTTCCCACCTCCTCTCTGAGTAGGTATCTTGAGAAAGCCCAGAAGCAAAAAGCAGTGCAGGCTCATTTAGCATGACCAACATATTTCCAGAGCTAGTGCTGCACTTCATAGCCACTTTCAGACCTGAGCATATCAATATTGATTGTCTGGTGGCTAAACAGACTTCAGCTTCCACCATTTACAATTATCGGAGCATGCTCCTTTGTCACCCTATGCAGCTGTGCTCAGGAAGCTACACAACCCTTCCCATGTAGGTCTTTGTGCATTCCTCTCTGGATCCCCTTTCTTTACTTCCTAATTTAACTAGCACTAACTAGCTGTGCTAGGAATAGGAAACCAAAAATCATCTAATAATTATAAATGGCAGCAAGAGGGCACCTTGGGTTCTCTAGGCAGACGAAATCACAGCAGTTGGAGCTGTGTGAGAAATTAGTTGTTTTTGGGAGAAAGTTTATGAATTACTTTTATAAAAAATAAAAAGTTCTGTTCTGAAAAGATTGAAAGGGAACAGACACATTTTAATTTTTTTCCAAATATTTGTTTAGACACTAATTTTGCCCAAGGAGGCACTTTCCATGATATATTTAGCTTCTAACAAATCATAATTTCCGGAATGAAAACGTTTCACTAAAAAATTTTTGAACAGTTATACTGACAAAGTTTAGCTTTAAAAAAAAGCTCAATTTTGATTTTATTACGAGAACCAGAATGACGGTTCTGAATATTACTGGACAAGCAAACAAGCTTCCTGTTGTTTCCAATACCACTTCAGATTTAGAAAGACCAAATTCTCTAGATACAAGCTATCTGGTCAGGCCTCAGCATCCCTAGTGCATTCAGTACTCATGTTCTGTACTGAGTCCACCAATAAGAAGGTGCTTTGTTTTTGTGTCCTACCCTTTAAAGGTAAAGACCTATTTCCAAGACCAGAGTACCTGTGTTAGAGTTAACCGAAGCTGCCAAAACTGGATTGAAATCTTAATCTGTGGAAGAGTCTAGTAACCTATTCCTCTTTTCAGAGTCATAAAAGCAGCCCACCTTTTGAAAAAGTCATTCTTTGTAAGGCTGCCAATCATTTAACCAGATATTCAAAATCAAAATCCATGAAAATAAAATTGAAAGAAGTATCAAACAGGAGCAGAAAAAGCCCACTGCAACTATTAAACAACTCTCATAAAACACACCAAAACATCACTGTTAAAGCAGTACTTTCCAAATGAAAGATTCAGAGTAAAGAGATGTGAACTATTTGTCCCTAGTGAGTAAGGAGGGGAAAACTCAATTATCAAGGCAAAACACTTATCCTAGAGAATCTCCAGTTGGCAACTTAATTAATTGAGCACTGTTCAACTTGAACACCTTTGCTGATCACAATTGTAGCATATTGTATAGAAAAATATGACTACTTCTAAAAGTCAGTTGGGACATAACTCAAGGAGAAATTTGAAACTAACTGGTAATCCACCAGAAGCCAATGTAGATCCAAGCCAATGTATGCAGTCCCATTTAGCCAAAGGATTATCACATCCCTTGCTAGTAAAAACTTCATTATGTTTTTAAAATTTTATTGGAATATAGAATTTACATAAGAACCCATTCTGCAGATGCATTCCTAACACTGTGATGGCATACTGGAGGAAGGAGGAAGTAAATCTCCTGGAAGCATAAATCTGAGACTTGTTTCATTGTTTACTAGGATCAAGCATGAAATTGCTTTGCACAATGTATTTTCCATTCTAATTCACTGGTGAGTCTCACTATCTTGTACAAAAACATTACAGTGTTCTTATTATTTCACAGAAAATCAAAATTCTGGTCACTATAAAGACTTCAAAATAACAGTATGACAGAAATCCATTTTTGTGAGATTTTCCCTTTCAAGCACGTCTCACACCAGCCCAATGCTGATACAGAAGTCTGTGCCAGACTTTTCTATTGTCACAGGGACTCTGGCTTTACTGCTTACATACCTGCTGGGTAAGGAGACTGATGTGGCTCGGTGGAGAATACTGACGGGTTGCCTGCTTTTCTGCCAGCTGCTGTAGTTCTGCTGCTACCATACTAGGGCTATAATGTTTGCCATGGCAAGAAGTATCTTCTGCATCTTTGTGCGTCCTGGCTGAGCCCACACGCGGTCCACTTGGACTGCGATGGCACAAACCTACTGAACAAACATTTGGATATGCTTAGTTAGCAGTATGTCAGACTCCGCGGAGTTCTATATTCCTTCTGAGCCTGCTGATCATGCATATATAAAAGCAGGTGTGACACTTTCTGCAGATTGTCCCTATATGGCCTTCTTTTCTGCCTATGTGTTGCCTATGTAAGCTTCTCTAAGCCAATTCCAAATCCATATTCATCTTATCACAATGCACCTAATAGCAAACAATTCCAAAGAATTATTGGTTGGTTGTTACCTGCATCAAATCAATGATGATTTTCCTTGAAAATAAGTGGATCCCTTTAAATAAGCCACTCAGTTGGGAAGATTTATTTTAATGCTAGCAAGTCTGCTACTACGTATGCAGCAACTCTAGTGAACATCTGGTGACTCTGATGTACAACCCAAGACAAATGCATAGCACAATTTCAGAGAAAAACAGTGCTTTATCAGGACTACAGCTGACCGTGTCTGCTTTTCAAAACTTTCCTAATAGGTTTCTGTCTGCCTCCATAAATTTCTAATGACTACAGTTTCTCCTACCCTTCAGATCCTCACACTTTAAGGTCACATTGTTCAATTATGTTCTATCTTGAAATGGTAAACGAGAGATCTCCTGTTTGTAAGATGTTCTGGGATATGCCAGTTCTGAAAAATCCTAGAGAAAGATATGCAATACCACTCCTTTAAACACAGCCCATTTGGGTCTTTTCTTTTTCGGAGGTCCTGACAAACCTTTAAGTAACCTGTAAGTATGAGTCTTTTTAGAGGATTTCTCTGTGTGAGAAAGAAACAAGGAACTACAAACAGTACACAGCTTGAGACAGGACTTGTGCTGACCAAAACTACCTTAAAATCACTAAAGATAAACAAGAGACCAGTAATACAATCAAGCAAAGATATACAGTGCATCACTTCCCAGCTCTTTCAGAAGAGTTCAATTCTTGTTCGTCCACTCAGTAAAATCCTGTTCATTTGCTCAATAAAAGGGCATCTTTGGCAAACCCAAGGGTGCTTCCTGCACTCCTTCCTTCTGTGGGAAATTTAACACCACTGGAACAGGACTCATAATTCCGGAAATGTAAGATTTCCACCTATTCTGGACCAGGCAGTCACTACACAATCTCTGAATGGAACTAGCAGGTATTCTATTATGCATCCCCGAACACTCACCTGCTTTTGCAGAGGATGGTCGGGACAATCTTTGGCTGTAAATCTGAGCAGCTCTCTGAAAAGATGAGAATGGGCCAACACTGTAGCTACCAGAATGGCAACGATGTAATCCTGCAAGGCTAGAAGCCTCACTGGAGGCAGGGTTTGTGCAGACAGAAGAGCTGTCAAGGGCTGTGCTCTGGATCTGAGAAGAAGGTGGGGAGGATGGGGACTGAATCAGTCTGGGACCAATGGGAGGAGCCAGCAATGAATGGTGATCAGGCATCTGTGGACTTTCAGAGGCTGCAGGCTGAGACGGCAACTGGGAGCTGGTACTTCTCTGGGCAGTGGCACCAGGAACAAAGGAGGAAACACTAGCAGGGCCACAACGAGGTAATTTCACTTCAACATCTAAGGACAAGGTGGGTCCTTCCGGAACTATACAAAGACAATGAGCACATTATATGAGAAAAGCTGCTTTTCAGGTCTTTCAGATAATAAGAACATACCCAAGATGCAGCTATTCATACACTCACTGAAGCCAGAATGACCTCATTCTACCAGCAAGGACAGAAGAGGCTCTACATGAGTAATATCAAGCTCTGAAAGAGGATATATCTAGATCCTTCCCCACAAAAGAGCAGCTAGCTTATTCATACCGCTCACCCTACACTTCCCCAAACCTGGGCCCCTTCAAATCCCTCAGTTTATTTTTGTCCATAGGTTCCAACCTCAGTATTTGTTTAAAATAGTGTTGAAAACAGTACGTGCATTCATCTTCTCTTCCTTGATAATGATTGAAGCTGGTTTACTTACAAGCTGATTTAACTTCTTTGGGTTTGTAGCCTCTTAGTGCTCCTTCTGCAGGCAGATCTGCAACTGAACTTCGGGCCTGATCACCTTTTATTTCTTTCGTCACTTCAGGTCTCTCTGTAACAAAATCTGGGAGTTAGAAAGTAGAACAATTCGAACCATGATACCACTAGAATAAGACTGAATAGCCAATTTCTTATATATGTTAGTCCAGATTCATTCCATTTCACCTCAGGCAAAGAAGCTTGGCATGCACACTCTTGTCTACATGGATGGAATCAATGAAGAAAGAAGTGTAACCTCCAGAAACCTGAATCACATTCTTGAGGTGATGTTGTCTTTCCACAGATTAAAGTAAAAATTGGATTAGTCTGGACAATATCATCTCAGAACTACCTGCAACACTTACCCCCTTGAGACTGATTCTCTAACTGGTTGCTGCTGTTGCTGGCTTTCGTGGTTCTAGAGTTCGTTCCTAGAAAGACGCTTGCTGACTTATTTTTGTGCGTGTAAAATGTCAGAACTTCCTCCAGGTCACTCTCACTACAACAAGGAGAAAAGAAAGGACCTAAATGAGGATTCTAAGCTATCATGTAATGATCAAAAAGGACAGAAGATATGGAGGCTAAAGAGGGGAGGGGAAAAAAAGGCAAAGCCAGATAATCTACTGATTTGCTCAGTTCTGCAGGGCAAGAGTGGTAGGAATGGAACATGCCTTGGTTAAATCTGAGATTCCCACTGAAACACCATTCTCTTATGAAGTGGAAAATTCAAAGCATTCAGGAACTTTCCCGAATAAAAAAAAAGAGCAAGTGAAAACTCCAAATATATTCTTGGGAGCTTTGCCCAATAGGAGAGATTCAGTTCTCAGCTAAACTAGCGAATTTTCCTCAGGTGCTCTCCAGAACAAGCACCTATCAGGTTCATAGGAGAGGTCAGCTCAGCTGCGGCTTCATATTCATCATTATAAGTTTCAATCCAACAGTGGGAGAGGAGTGGTAGGATGAGGGAAGAGATTGTTAATTATCAAAACTGCAGAAAAAACAAACATAACAGTTAGCGTGTTTGCAAATCTCACAAAACTTGCATATGTTTCTCTTTATTATTTTCTTCACAAGAAAAAGGGGGATTTAACTGCCCCAATGTCTTATGCCTCTGTTGTTTCCCAAAACAGTATCAGTTAGTTGGCCATTCAGATTAGAACTTGTACAAACTGTAATTCTGATTTTTGGGATATGTACCTTCCTTTCCTTATGCTCTATAGCATTGCCTCAGCATTAGCGTGAGTACGTGGCAGAGTGCACATCAAAAGCAAGAAGGATAGTGTCAGTGACGCAACAATAGAACATAACACAGGAATATAAATCTGCACAGCAGCAGTTATAACCTTTCAAAATGTCCTCTGCATATCACACTTGCATTAGTTTTAGCCAATCTGAGCTTTGGTAAAAGCAATGTCTAAAGCTGATCCAATGGGTGTTTGGTCCTTCGAGGCATGCTGCAAAGTTTACCTTCTCTCCCAAGCACTGAGAACAGAGGTGAAGAAGAACTGTAAGAGTGAAAAGATGTTGGATGGAAAGAAGCTTTAAGCTTTTGCTTATCTCGCTTATTGGTCACGATTACAGTGAATTTACCAGCGTTATATACTTTTACATTGCACTGATGACGTTCGGGGCAATGGTTGTAGCATGTATGCAAATGCAATACATCCATGTTAAAACATCCTCTCCTGATGTCGAAGTTACAAAGTTCAATTGGACAACACTTATTCTCTATTTTCTCCAGTGTTGTGCTCACTGTGCTACAGAACAAGCACTCAAATTGGAAATCTTTCCTTAGGCTCCCAATGACTAGCTTGCTGATTTAAGCTTAAAGCACTAGACCAAAGTAAAGTAGTGTCAATTTTCAAAGTTTTCAAAAGTACCTGATACTTCATAAAAAGCAGAGACATCTAGAAACCGTCTGATCCTTGGCCGACTGCCTTTTGCTGTTCTCTACTACTCGGGCAAATGGTACAGTAAAAGTCTCCAGTATGGCCTAAATTTTGCTTCAGGCCATGATGGCCTGGTAGCCAGTAATATGGAAATGAAAGAGTATGCAGTTCTGCCCCAAACAACCTTTTTTTTTTTTTTAAAGCATTTCTGGCAAACAGGAAAACGACCTGTCCTAGGAGGCAATAGTCACTTTAGTGTCCAGAGATGCCAGATAACCAAGGCCCATATTGTGGGCCCATGCAATCTGCACTTCTGGTGCTAGGAGAACTAGATGCTACAGTCTGCCAGGTATCTTGAGTCTTGTTTCTTTTCAGAGCCCTATTTGCTCTGAATGGCAGTGAGTTTTTACTTGAAATCTGTAATCTCTTGGATTTACTTGGAATCTCTTGCTGTAATAACTCCATCAAGTGTACTAGCAAAACCTATAATTCACTGCGTTCATGAGAATGTAGCAAAGGAGATTATGAAGCCTCCTCAATTTAGTTAAGAATCATCAGCTTCACCCACTTCTCACCTACTTCTGATTAATCACTACGGATGCTATCCAAACAGAGGAAAAGAAAGAGCAATTTCATAACTGACTGAAAAAGAAGGAAGTAGTGATCGTCCTAACTTTCCTAGAGAAGACAAAAGTGCGTTAAAAAGGTAGGTGAACTACCTGTCCAGAAATTGACAGAGGTTCTTGCCAATACAGGCATGTCATATTTGGATTAAATAATTGAGAGTCATAAAGAGTCAGCTTTGCACTCAGGAATCAGAGGCTTTGAGTCAAAAGGAGTAGTTTTTGCTCAAGAATTAGAGGCGTGCGGAAACAATGCTGGTTCACTGAATAATTTCAAACCTCTTTACAGTCAGATAACTGTAATACTGATGCTCATAAAATATACTATAGGACATAAAGGGGATTCACCTCATTTTCAAAATATCCATTTTCAGATTCTTTTAAGTTTAAGTCCATAGTGTACGCAATTAGAAAATGTTGCTTTTTCAATGTGAAATTAACTCCTTGCACTGAGCTTCCTTAACAAGCAGGGTAAGAAGCTAGGAGGAAGGTAGAGTTCAGGAGATGGTGGAGTTCAGGATCCTGCAAAGAGGAAGAAGGGCAATAAGTAAGATCGCAACCCTGGACTTCAGAAGAGCTAACTTTGGCCTCTTCAGGGACCTACTTGGAGGAATCTCCTGGGGTAGGGCCCTAGAAGGAAGCGGGGTACAGGAGAGCTGGTTAATATTCAAGCATCACCTCCTCCAGGCTCAAGATGGGTGCATCCCTCTGAGTAAGAAGTCCAGCAAAGTGGGCAGGAGACCTGCATGGATGAGCAAGGAACTCCTGGCAAAACTCAGACGGAAGAAGGAAGTCTATAGAATGTGGAAAAGGAGACAGGCCACTTGGGAGGAATGTAGGGACACTGTCAGAGTATGCAGGGATGCGACAAGGAAGGCTAAGGCCCGTTTGGAATTAAATCTGGCAAGGGATGTCAAGGATAACAAGAAGGGCTTCTACAAATACATCAATAGCAAAAAATGAAAAGTAAGTTGCTCAGGTAACTGAACCAAGACATACTAAGGGTGCCTAAAAGGTACTGTGTACTAGAAAGTCATGCAGCTTTCATCATCTTGACTCCATTTCTATAGAGCCTAACCAGAATCCCTAACAGTCTTACCCACCGTTCACCCTAGAAAATGTAGAAATTCTGATTCTGAGGACTAAGTCCTCAGAAGTTGCCTGTTTAAGAGAAGTCTCCTGTTTAAAAGAAAAAGAGTAGTTATCTTCAAATACCAAACTAGAGACCCTTAATATCACCTAAGCATCACAGAGAGATGGACTATTCACAGGCTCAATCTGAAATGACCACATAAAACTTCCCCATGCTAAGCACAACTATCCTCTTACCTGAATTCTCCTCCACTACACTAAAAATTCCAGTCTCATAACTTAATATAGCTATCCAAGCACTGTCTAACATGCAGCTCAAACATACCTTTTATTGGCTTTAAATGAGGTAAATATTCAAGCAGCTTGTTGCTACACTCACCTACAAGGGTGAACATATCTGAGAGCATGCTAGCTTTGATCTTCAGGTCCAAAGGAGCATCACTATCCCCACATGCAAAAAAGGACAAGATAAATCATTTATCTGGTATAAAATGAAAGGATTGCATCAATATCCAAGCTGCTTTCCAATATATTTTCTTTGCATTGGTCCTTAACGCAGGCATCACAGAAGCAAACCTAGTGACTTTCACACACACAGGTAAACACCAAACACCAACAAGTTAACCTATTTCTGTTTATAAACACAGTACCTATTGATTTTATTCCTTTTCAAGGCTTTACTCTTCTAATTCAACATGTACAGCCTTGTTTTAGCTCTACGTGGCCAGAAACCTTTTCTTTGGATGTATACTACACCAGTACAGGTTGGGGGTGGACCCGCCGGAAAGCAGCTCTGCTGTGTTTGTCCTGGTGGACAGCAAGTTAAGCATGAGCCAGCAACGTGCCCTTGTGGCCAAGAAGGCCAACGGTCTCCTGGGCAGCATTAGGCAGAGTGTTGCCAGCAGGTCGAGGGAGGTGATCCTGCCCCTCTCCTCAGCCCTGGGGAGGCCTCACCTGGAGTACCGTGTCCAATTCTGGGCTCCCCAGGACAAGAGAGACATGGCACTACTGCAGAGAGTCCAGCAGAGGGCTACAAAGATGAGGAGGGGACTGGAGCATCTCTCCTCTGAAGAAAGGCTGAGGCAGTTGGGCCTGTTCAGCCTGGAGAAGAGAAGACTGAGAGGCCATCTCATCAATGTCTACGAGTATCTGAAGGGAGGGTGTCGAGAGGATGGGGCCAGACTCCTCTCCATGGCGCCCAGCGACAGCACAAGAGGCAACGGGCACAAACTGAAACACAGGAAGTTCCATCTGCACATGAGCAAAAACCACTTTCCTGCGAGGGTGACAGAGCACTGGAACGGGTTGCCCAGAGAGGTAGTGGAGTCTCGTCTCCTTCCCTGGAGATATTCAAAACTCGCCTGGACATGATCCTGGGCAACGTGCTCTAGAGGACCCTGCTTGAGCAAGGGGGTTGGACGAGATGATCTCCAGAGGTCCCTCCCAACCTCAACTGTTCTGTGATTCTGAGGAAGACTGAGTATACCTCACTTTCTTCCTCATATCAGGAAGTATAATCCCAGAACATCCCTGAAGAGAGAGAGCAAACCCAAGATTTGTTTCTGAGAGCAGAAACTTGAGAGCCAGAGCCATGACACAACAGCTCAAGGCCATCTAAGCAGTGACCCTAGTTTCATTCTTCTTCCAAAGTACTGCTGCACTTGCTCCAGCATCACAGAAAAGGAGATCATTAGCTCACAAGCACCAGCTTGGAATTTATAGAGATCGAGGAAACCACTGCCATCCTCTGTATCTACTTAATGGTCAAAACATCTATTGTATGTCCTCCTCCATGCACCAGATGCTGACGCTACAAGCGTTTGGTTGCTGGAAGGGGGAAAAAAAAAAAGAGAAAAGACAAGTTCTCTGCCCCCCCAGAGACAGCAGGAGCAGATCTGAAGGTCAGCTAGGTATCTTGTGACACAATACCATCCTCTTCAGGGCTAGGAGATCCTTTACCAAAAGGAAGAAAATCCATTCCTACCTTGCCCTGGTAATAAAGTTCTGAAAACCTTCAGCATTCACTCCCTCCTCCACCTCCTCTTCCTGTTTCTTTTTTGATCGTTTCTGAACCATCTGCTCTGTTTCCTGTGAACAAGCAGTATTAGCAAGTGTCTCTATGCAGTTCCTCTATGTTCTGTGGCACATCTACAGAGTGCTACATCACTACATCTCTACATCAGAGAACACAAAAAGCAGTTCCATGGGATCTAGGAAAAAGAACATCTACCACAAAGAGCCAAATTGTAAGTGCATTTCAACTATGTGTAACAGAATGGGTAAATGTAGACAGCCCCAGAGACAGCATGCCAAGCTTATACTAGACTCCTGACTCCTCAACCTGACATAACTTATTAGAACTGATTTGCTGAGAAGCTTTCAAGGCTTGACAAATATGTGCTGCTCCTTCGAATACACCCTTTGCTGAGACAGGAGGGAATGTGGAGGGGAAAAAAAGTACCATTCTTTTGCAGTCATTACATTCTCTTTCCACTTTTGATGTTTTTGTCCCAAGTACAGACTTCCTCCTAATAGCTTATATTTGAATCTCTCTGCCCAAAAGGGGATATTTGGGAGAAGAGAAGGAGGATAAAAATAAAATTATATTGGAGAAACTCAATCAAGGTGGTCTGTAGACAGCATCCACATTTCCTACTGTGAACTAGGACTTCTCTCCTTGCGTTAACTTCTCCTGTCATGCAGCAAATTGCTGAGGGCTGTTCTACATACAAATAATACACTGCACTTCGATAACAGTAAAGAAAATAAAATAGTACAACATATGGCAAATATACTTTTACACATAAGAATATATTAGAATAAATGATGATAAACCTTTGTCTGTTAGAATGGAAGCAAGCTATGAGACAAATATCTTTATATTTTTTGCTAGTAGAACTTGTTGACACCAGAGGTTGTTTTTATACAACTATTTTTGTTAATTGAAAGAAAAAGAAAACACAGATCTGTGTGAAATACCAATACCAACAGAAAAGCCTTGTTTGACCAGACTTAACCTCCATTTTGTTGCTCCATACTGCTAACTCCCAGCTTGGCCAGGACTAGAGGGTTAGATAGCTCTTGCAAAAGATAATTCAAGGGGGAAAGAAAAAGCCACTCTGGGACATGTCTTTACTCTTCACTACTTAAGTAAAAGTCTTGACAATATGCAATCTGTTTTACTTAGGTTGCTGGAGACAGTGTTTTTTCCTCTGTGCCAATACAGAAGATATATAATGGCTAGTAGGAGTCCCCTACTATAGTCACAAGTCAGTGAAAGAAGTCTATATGTTGGAATCAAACATGAAAAAAAACTTGCAGCCTAACAGTCTCTCAATAGCTTAAAAGAGTATGTTCTAAAACCTCAAGTGATCTGTTCTCACTTGTTCTAACTAAGAAAATATGTTTAAGTGCTGATTTATTACCAGTTATACAGCTTTATTTTGTGAATTTACTCTAGAGTTAGCAGAAAATCCTAATGTTTGAATACAATTTGAGTGGAAATTATATCCAAAGCAGCTGCATTCTTCACTCACCACAGAACCGCCCGGGTGTTTTGTGGTTACTCCTAACACAGTAATTCAGCGAGCATTAGGCATACGAGGCACTCCCTGGAACAGATTTGGTTCAATACCAGTCTTGCTTTGACAGATCAAGTTACCACATGTCAGTTCTGAAAAGGTACTGTAAGTGGACATCCTCTGCTAATGAGTGGGAGTTTAGAGGCCTGCATGCACAGCAATCACTCTGAAAGCAGGATTCAAATTAGCCTTGTCCTAACGCTAAAGAAAGGACAGGGTGCAACAGAAAGAGGGAGCTGGTCTTGTAAAACAGGGATCAGCATGAAACCACTGCGTTAGGAAGACTATCTTCTATACCTAAAGAGGTGAGAATTATTTAAACTAGGACTTAAACCTCCTTGTCACTGAGCATGCAGAATTCCATACTAGAGATTACTTGCATTCCCTCAATATACCAAACAAATGGTAAAATATGTATTTCATATACGATATGTATAAAAAAGTTTATCTCTATAGAAGCATCATAAAAATAGGGAGAAATGGGAAAAGGCAATATAAAGCACTAGACCACAGAGAAGCCAAAGAAAAAAACAAACTGTAAGTTAAATTCGCTTTTGTTGAACATTTCTTTTTATTGATATCCATAAAAACAATCAGCTTTTTCATTTTCATTTTGACATATGTCAATAAAATGCATCTCTAAGCCTGTATTTGTTGATCAAAGTTTTGAGAAAGTTAAATAAACTCATATGCACGATTACTGGACTGCACACATAATGCATTAATATGGTGTCTATCTGACAATTTGAAGAGACAGCTATCATGACCGGATGTGCAACTGCAAAGAGACCATATAAATTACAGAACAGATCCCTTAAGAAGTCTGCTGTTCTGACTATGACGATAGCCAGCAGCAGATACTCTACCGGAAGATACCAGAAGCCAAATCACCAGCAGCACTAGGGTAAGCTGCTTTGTGATAGTTTCTTACACAAGTTAGATACAAAAATTCAGATTTAAACCAAAGGCATTTCCAAGGGGTCCTGAGCTTTAGAAATCCTTAGTAATTTGGCAGTTATCTATGACTGGCTGACTCATATCCAGCTCCTGACCCGTAATATGCAATAACCATGGTGGCTGCTGCTGCTGGAATCAAAGGAGTCGATCAGCACTGGTTACTGCTTTTGTGCAGAGTATAATATTCTATATATAATACATATATATACACCACATGTATAATATTCTGTTATACACCAACAAGGTGCGCTGTAGTGGCACTAAAAGCAGTGAAGCCTGAAGGCACTGAAATGAATTAAGCAACTTAGTCCCCTGCTGAGTAGGATGAGCTACCAGAAGAAGAATCCAGAAAGAAATCACTCACCTTATTATAGCAGACTATGAACTCGCCCAGCTGGCGAGCCAGGATACGTCGACGATCATTTAGGCCTAGACGCCGGCTGGGAAGCAGCATCCTCAAGGACTGCTGAAGGTTGCTAGCTGCTCGCTTCAGAAAGCGTACCACAAGCTCCTGCGTGCAAGGGAGATGGAGTTAACAATGGACTAACAGCAAGAAGTGGGAAAAAGAGAACAGAGGTGCAACACCAGCTCATGATTGACAATAACTAAACACACTATTCAGAGAATATGAGATGACAAATGGCAGGCAAAAAACATTCAGTATGTGCATTTTTAATCTAGGCCTACAAATCCGACACAGATGAAGAGGAGGATGACATGCCATATCTGAGGTGGGACGGAATTAGGAATATTTTTCAAAAACCGTGTGGCAGATTAAAAAAAAAATCAAGCACCAACAACATCAAATAACCTGTAAAAACCAATATTTAGACAACCTTTCCAAAAAAACAACCTGTAATGTGCTAAAAGAGGCCTGTGATGAAGTGTACTGACATAAAACCCTCTCAGCCCCATCACAGGGAAGAAGGCCGTCTTCGTCAGATAGCTCCACTGTAGTGATGAGGCTACATTTCATCACTGTTCATATATGCACGTTACTGCCACATTTCTGCACAGCAACAGAAGAGAACATTGAAGGCCGAATAAATCCAATCTCCCACCAAGCAGGCCCCATTTCAGTATGACCTCTGCTGGGGGAAACACAGGGCAAGACACATCTTAAGGCAAGATGCATTGTGCGGGTGTTTTGAACCCCTTCTGTCTCCCCTCTGGATTTGCTTTTGGTTAGGAGCTCTGCTAATGCATAAATGAGCTGCCTCACAGCCAAACTATTGGATTTCACAGCTCGCCTCTTACTGCCATTACACCAGGCTGGTTTGATCTGTTATTTTAAACATTATTTTTCACAGTGCAGCAGACAAAGTGACTCTCAAAAAGCCCATTTTAATTTTCCACTTGGAAAGAGTAGGGGTAACATTTTCCACTGAGTCGACTGATTAGTCTTGACAAACAGTTTTATCTCTGAACTGCGCTGGCTGTTTCCCTGCAACATGCATTCAGCAAGAATCCATCTGGGCCTGCAGAAAACTCAAGAACCTACTGATGCTTTTTTTTTTTTCTCCTCCTTCCTTCTCTTCTCTGAGAGGGGATTTGGGCTTGCTGCACTCGGTAAAAGGTAGATACATCAAATATAGGAACTCTGATGTACTGCCTATAAAAGTCCGTAACACACACACACACACACACACACACACAAAGGCTAGAAAGTAACTTTCCCTCCTCAGTGGCTCTTACTTTTTCTCATCCATCTAAAAGCAACAAAGACGCGTAAGCACAGATGCTTGCAAAGAGTAAAACAGTAGTACACAGGAGAAAAAGCTAAGCTGGGTACCTGCTCTAGTTGAGTGGATGAATGCTTTGTTTAGTGCAATCACAGAAGAAATCAGATATTGGAGGGTAATCTTACAGATTCTTAGACAGAAGAATTCAAAAGCAGGTAGGCTCAGAGCTGGGAGATGCAGGGAAGGAGAACCAGTGAAAGATTTGAGTAGCTCGAGTGTCAATCACACTCTAGTTATTAAGAACTGTCTATTCCAGCTCTGCTCAGATGTCAGTCAACATTTCTACCTGGTCTGTATGCTAAAAATCCAGCTCTGGCAAATGGACAAACATACAGTAGATAAGTATAATCTGAGGGACTTCACCTCTTCCAAGGATGGGAACTGATCTCAAAACTCTCTGGGCAGATTTCAGCTGAGCTTCTCAGGGCCAACAGAAAGTTTCTTACCATTTGCTCATCCTCTTTGGCAGCCCAAGCAGCATTCTGGATCTGGTTACCAGCCTCCTTCATCAGTCGCAACTGAACATGCTGTAGGTAGGCAGAGAAAGCCCTGCGAGCCTGCACTTTGCTGTGGACCAAGAGAAGAACAGTCAGATATCCTCAGAGCAGTAAAGGAAAGAGGCACAGCTTACATACTGAAGTACAGTCAGCAAGGACCACCTAAGTGCAAATATGTTGAGTTCAAGGGAAGGAACATCCCTTCACCCAACCACCATTTTCAAGGGGACCTTCATTTCACTAGGATGGGGCAGGAATTCCAGGAGATACAAGAGACAGTAGATGCTCTCTGAGTTCTAAGACCATCTCTAAAAACGGAGTCCTCTCCTTGCCTTTTCACAGTCTTAACAACTCTCCTCCAAAAGCCAACCGCCTGAATATCAGTAAAACTCTGTATTTTTAAACCCAATCAAAGGCTCTCTTGGGGCTCTGTCTTCACAAGTGTTTTGAACATCACAACAGCAGACCATTAAAAAAAAAAAAAAAAGGGCTTGGGACCAGTGCCAGAGCTGTAACAAAGGCCCTGCGATTCCCATTGCAAATGAAAGAATGAAATCTGTGAAAGTGAGCTCTTCCCCTGCTGGCTCAAGGACACAGGCCAGATTTCACTGAGCAAGGCACCACTGAAGAATGAAAGAACACCAACAAAATCTGCTGTGCAGCTGGCTGAACATGTTGGGAAGCCATGAGCATAAACTGAGGAGAGGACTGAGGCAGGACTGGGAGGAACACACTGATTCTCATCCCCTCACAATGGTAGTCACTTTAGCGAACAAATCCGTCACAAGAGAAATTCCTGAAAACTGCCTAATTCTGTTCACTGTCATCTTGGTCTAAACCCTCCTCTCCAATTTCTGCTCTGCCCCTCTCTACTCTTCCTCAGTCCCCTCCACAGCCACTACAGGCTGTTCCTTGCATTGCCAAGCATGATTTTTCCTTTCCTTTTCATAAGGACATAGAAGCAGATGGGCTTTAGTGTCAGTGACTGATTCCCCTTCTATTGCAGGCAATGTCATAATTTTTTCTATACAATTATTAAGTTTCATCTTAAAATAAACTAGATTTTTCAACCCATTACTTCTCTGGAATGCTATTCCAGAACTCATTGTTCTAATAGTTAGGAACCTTCTTTTACTACCCAGGCTAGCTTCATTCACGGCCAGTTTACATCAGCTTGCTCTTTTTCCAACACTGTCTTATATCTTAAATAACTTCAACCCTGATGGGTCTCCTATCCTGAATGTACTCATTAAGAGCAATCATATTACTTCTTAGTTTTCATTTTGTGAGTGTGAACTATCCAGATCTCTTAGTCTCCTCTTAAAAAACACTGACCAGCTGATGAGACTAGCAGCTTGTCTCCATCTGTTTCAGTTACAGTTCATCTTCTTTGAACACGGGTAATAGGAACTGTACATAATATTCCAGATGAAGTCTCATCAGGGACTTGTACAATGACAATAAAATTTCCAGTGGAGTTAGGGAAGTATCTTAAGTGATACACCCTAGACCATATTCATTACTTCCACTCATGCATGAGCTGGAGCTTCACAAACCTCCTGCAATTAACAAGCATACAAGATATTTCTTCTTTTAAGTCATTATCAGCTGATGAACACCCAGATGAAATAACTTCTGCTGTATGTTACTAGTTCTTAAGAGCACGCCCTTGCACTTTGCTACTGAATTTCACCTTATTCATATTATTCCTACCCTCAAGGTCATCCAATCCTTTTTATATATATTCCAATATTTTTCTCTAGTGACAAAATCTCCCAAATCTTTTCCATCAGAAAATTTCATTAGCACATTTCCACATTTTGTGCCATTCCTGAACCGATTATTAAAATCAGCCTCAGGCTGATTATTGAGGAACTCCACCATTTTTTCTTTACTTGTTCTCTGTTTCTAGACACTTATATGGTCCCCATGACTGTAACAGCTCTCCATCTCCATGTACAAGCGTTCCTGAAATTTCATCAAAAACTCAGCCCAGAAATTTAGTCTTCTTGTTTTATATGTCTGCAAATTTCAGGAATAGTTCTTCACAGTGTTATAGAAATCGTACAAAATAGCGGCACCTATAGGGATCACTGCATTAACTTAGAGTGTATGTAGGGAGATAAGAATTGAAGTTAAAATGCATTATTTGTATTTATGCATCAGCTTGATCATTAGCTTTTGATGCTTCTGGAAGACCACGCCAGGGCCAAAGAGCGGCTAAGCAAATGATGAGTTCACAAGAGCCTCAAACATCCTCTCTGCTTGGATACTCTTAGTGGTTCTGCTTTAACCAGAAGAACTACAAGATGTCTTCCAGTGAACTCCAGAACACACAACAGGCCTTGTAACACCTCGAGGCTCCCTATCCTGACTGCTAGTCACCAAATCCACCTTCTCTTCCCATATGAGAGTAATGCCATAAGGAGAACATTCTGAATCCCAATTAAGAATTAATACTCCATACATCAGGCCACCATATAGATCAGGGAAGCCTCTCTCCTGAGGCTCTCTAGGAGTAACTCAAACATCTTATAACCAAGAGTCTAAGATTGGTGCTGGCAGGACTTAAGTACCCTCATTATCAACATCAGCACATTAATACAGTTCTTTATCTGCATCTGACCCTTCTTCGATTCCAAAATGGAAAATTGCAAAAGGTCCTTGAGGTAAATTGTAACACTGTCTCCCTTATGGTGTGCGGAATTTGGAGCCCAGAGGCCTTAGATGAAGAACCAAACAACTCCCTTTACTTTTGATTTCCCTGGGGATGGCACAGGGGGGAACACTGTTCATTCCACTGTCACCTCTCCACCAAGAGTATCCAACATTTGGAAGGTAGAGAAATTGCCTCGTCAGGCCAGCTAGAGGAGAGAGAGAAGTCCTGCCATTTATAAGGGCTGACCAGGACAGGTCTGGTTTCTTTCAGATGAAAATTTCATTACTTCAGCTCCTCAGCCTGTAGACCCTGCAGCAAAGGTTTCAACAGTGACAGATCAGATGGGGCTAAGCCCAGCACAATCCTGGTGAATGAGGTCATCACAAGCCTTACACACTTCTGGGGGGAATCCCAACAGCACTGGGTGCTGAGCACGATTTTGACAGGAACATCAGACAGATCTTGCACTCTTGGCAGGATTTAGTTCTATATATAGGTAGGTGAGCTCAGCATGGCTGTGTCTGTCCCGGAAACAGGTTTCAGAATCTTCCTATGTCACAACAGCGAATGCCTTAGCCACAAGAAGGCAGCAGAACAATCCCAAAATTCATTTGATACTTCATAAATTCTGCCAGAAACTAAACTAGGAAAGCAGCAGCAAGCAACTAGAATTATTTTCTCTACTTTTGGACTTTTTTTGCACAAAACATGATACTGCTTTCTATCCAGAAGACAAAATCCTCCTACACAGATATGCTCCCCCTTTCTCTTTACCCTTCCTCTCCTAAACTGTCTTACTTAAGGAATGAATCACTCTTCTAAACATCTACTAGGTCCCTGCTTGGTGACCTAATGGGTCATACAATTTCCTCCAGTACCACATTTTTACAAGCAACTGAGCCACGTATCAAAACATATTCTGCTCCACCTTATTGTTTTCAACAGTGGGCAATGAGATGTCTCAATAACTTATCACTCTCAAATGACTTTCTATCTCACTTTTAGGAGGTGGTGACACCCTGCATGTCAGAGACTGTTTGTTAGAGGTACAAATTCCATCAGCAAAAATAAAAGCACAAAAATTAGAAGACTACATTTTTCTGGTGAGGCAGCACTTAGCTATTCCTTCTCAACTTTTCTTGGATGGCTTAATATATGTTGATACACACTTCTGTGGAAATGCAAAGAATGAAAAGACAAATGTTAGCATTCAATAGCAGGTACCTTGCATTAAGACAGAAGGTATTTTAGAAGCCTGAGCTGACCAAAGAACAGCTTAACACATCAGATTAAAGAATGGTATACAAAGCATAAGCTGTAGTTTACATTGCTGATCCAACAGGTCAGGTATTTAGGTAAACTGTAGGTCTTTGCAGCTATCTCCTTTTTGTGCCAACTAGACGCTAAGGCAGCCCACAGTTAGATAAAAATCTGAGCCCATATCTCTAGGCTCTTACTATCTCCTTACACTCATATTCATAATGTGTCACTAAGCATATATCCTCAGCATCCATATTTTAACTGATACTAGCTGCTAGATAAAACCCAAAGCAATATGCATAAATCTCTCACCTTAAGTTTCCATTCTCTTGAAGAATCTGCAACAGGTTAAATTGAGATTCTGCCTCTGTTTTTTCAAGAAACTGCTCTCCTCCAGTCTTCTTGTCAAGTTTTTTCGGTATATTCTCTTGACAAGCAGCTTTTACCAGTTCAGAGACCTTTGTCTTGCTTTTCACCTGGGTGTCCAAAAGAGAGCCAGCAGTTCCATCTAGCTCTTCATCTTCATCTGCATCTGCCTCCTCTTCCTCCTCACGCTCTGTGTCTGACTTGAGGGATAGCTTTGTGGGTTTTGATGTCCCTAAAATAGAGGAGAAATGACCTGTGCTAGCTTTTTAAAAAAAGAAAAAAAAAGAGGGAGAAATATCCTGATATCTGCACCCTTCGGTTTACTCTTACACTCTTTTCTGCTAGAAGGAGAGAACATCATCATTTTAGAATAGCATCTTAAGTATCATTGCACTTTATTAAATATTCTTTCTGGCTTTTTGCTTGTGCATCAAATAACTTTGAAGCTCATTCCCCCGGTATAAGAAGACAGACAAAGGTTATCGTCATGTAACAAAGAAGAAACAAAGAAACAAAGGCATTTCCCTATGCTGCATCCCAATTCTTTTGCAGATCTTTGATTCATATATATGCTCATCTTTTGTTTTTTGTGTCAGAAAAATCAAAGCTAAGAAATGTAAGCCTTCATATGCACCAATACAATTCACATGTATTACTTCCTAACCTACCACCAAAAATCATTATATATCACACAGCCTCTCACAGGGCAGGCTGTATTAGGTAGCTACTGGAAAGAGATTAGATAAAGGCTTCAGGAACAGCCATTTGCAAGGAACATTCACCTCTGTCTGCTTTTAAGGTTTTCCTACATCAGCAGAATAAAATTTCTCTCATTCCCATGTCTTAGTCACTGTTGTGTAGGAATTCCAGTCTGGAAGCTTCCACGTTTTTAGCTTTCTCTGAAAAGTTGGAGAACTACAGAGGCACATACATACTGTCGATTTCTTGTACTCAAAAATGCAACTGGAAGCTCAACCTCAAGAAAATATTGATTGCCTTCAGTCACGTATCTGAGGATGTGGAATGGTGGGAATGGAATTCCAGGTACATAAAAAGGCAGGGAGCCCAGAACAGGAATGAAATGAAAACTATTAACTCTTAAGATGAAAGCTATTAACCTTGACCACTGAATCCCTTTAGGGACTACAATAGCCAGAGCTAACAGCCCCGTTCACCTAGATTTCAAAAGAAAAAGTCCTTGCTTGCTCGTTTTTAACTAACTAATCATCTGGAACTTTAGCCGTGCACACCTGATGATCTTGTCTGTGCCACTCGTGCCTTGCGATGACATCGCCTGCGCTTCCGTAACTCCAGTGAAACGAGCTTCCTCTCATAAAAGAGAGCATTAGAGTCCGCAGCTTCCAGCTTCATATCCAGCCTTCCACAAAGACTGGCTCTGGGAAGCATAATACACAGAAAACCTCAGTCTCCCTTTTTAATTCTCTCCTTGATGATCCAAGAGACCTACGAGATTTAACTTCTTCAAGAAACAGTTTTCCTGACACAGTGAAGAAATATTTATGATTAGTCTAACTTTCTTGCATGTAAAGCCAACAAACATTTGAAGGGAGATCCATTCAGAGACTTGCAAGTACTTTATAGAACATCATCTCTCCAAGTCCCAAAACTCATGTATCTAGCACCATGCTTTCATGACTCAGCAGCTTCTATTCAATACGCAGCAGCTCAAGGCATAATTGGTAAGGAAGCCTCAGGTGGGGTCTAGGATTACAAAAGAATGGAGAGAAGGGGGAGGGGTGCACATGGACCTGATTCCCATCTTGATAATCTTTAGTTTGTTCTTCCTTGTTAGGTCAGAGGCAAGAACTTTATCGTAATCCAAGTGAAAAGTGACACAATTCCGCAATTTCCTTCTAAACAAAGGAGAAGGGAGTCCTGCCAGATTCCTTAAGGGAGACAAACTAATAACTTTCTGTCATTGCAGAAAGATCCAGCAAATGGCTCCTTACAGTGCAAGTACAAATATCTACAAAAATTTTCTCTTGCTCCACTCACCTTTTGGATCTAGCAAAGTGAATATGTGGGTACATGAAGTCCAAAAACCTGACACATTTTAGAGTCATTTAAGAGAGCTCACCTATGAGGCTCACCAATACGGTAGGAGCATCAGAGCAGCAAGCCTAAGAGGAGTAGCTTTAAGATCCAACCCAATAAAACTTAAGCTCTCCAAATGCTGGAATATTCTTTGTTTACACCATTTACTTTACAGAAATGGTTGTGAGGGGTAGGAGCAACACAACCCTTTCTTATTTTGATGGGCTTCTGGTGGAACGGGTGTTGCCCAAGGCTTTGAGAGGTAATGTTGTGTAATTCTAAATTATAGAGTAAATCCTACAAAAAACAAATTATTTATTTAAAAAGCCATTTACCGGGGTCTCCCAGTGACCAAGTCTCTTTTCATCTTGCCCCTACAAAGGAAAAAAGGGCAATAGGTTACCTTCCATTCTGGATCACCAATAGGATTTAAAAACCTACAAAGTCTTTCACATGAAAAATGAAACAGGATCTCTTGTGAATCACAGAATCGTTTAGGTTGGGTCATCAAGTCCAACCTCCCTGCTCAGGTAGGGTCCTCTAGAGCATATGGGGGGGGGGGGTATCTTATCCTAAAGGAGAGAAAAACAGCTCCAAAAGAGGAACTCTGAGTGGCTGTCCTCTAACAGACACTTGCATCCATCTGGCTCAAATTGGAGAAATATCACTTGGAGCAAGCCTCTAGAAACATTCCTGAAATTATGCGGTGAAAAATCTTACAGTGCTGTTCCAGGAAGAGCTTCTGTAAATAGTATCTCCTCCTCAGTCAGCAATCTTACCCTTGCTCTATAGCTACTTTATTGTCAAACTCAAATCTAGAGAAGAAAAGCTGAGGTGGGGAGGAGGAGGTCTAAACACAGAGTGAAAAATGTTACATACAACTCTTGGTGGAAGTTTAACTACCAGCATGAACTGTGATTTCCACCAAAGCACCACCCAGAGTCGCATCAAACCATGTTTGCACAGGTCAGGAGGTAAAGGCAGGGATAACAAACCTTTGGAGTAAATTTCAGTGCTTACTTAACAGGAGGAAAAGCTCTGATGCAACTGTAAACTTGAAAACAAATGCAAGCAAGGACCTCCAAACAGACAAATCTAGGTGCTTAGAGGCTTCCCCTGTCTATAGTCTCCTCTTCTCTACCAATGACTCCCATGCCTTTTGCCCATTGCCCTTTTTGCCCTTGAATTCAGAATTGCAGCATATAAAAATGGGAGAAACGTCCACAGTCACTGGCATACTAGTAGAAAAGACATGTGCAACCATGTCTATTATTGTAAATCACAAACTGGTGTTTATAACATTGGATGAGTGAGGAATAAATCTTTTTCATGCTGTTTGTGTCCCTTGCCTCTCTCCCAAATCCAACAGCTTTCTACCTGTCCTGGAACAGACGTGTAGCCAGCATGTAGTTCATTGTCGTCTTGTGCTCTAAGAAGGACCTAGAAAAATAAGATACAGGATATATTAAGGTAGAGCTCAACACAGTGCAAGGCAGCATAATACAGACAGAAGTCATCTATAAAAACCATCCCAGAAGAAGTAGATTGAGATAACATGCTGTATCACAAAAGAAAAGAGGAAAGGAGGAGAGCTATAATTTCTCAGCTAAAGTTCCTGGTGAGGCAAGAGACAGGGAGAAATATTACAGACTTGAGGCAAACAAGAAAAGCAGGATGCAGTATCATTCACAGGATGAGTCCTATAAGGTGTTCATGGCCTAATGAGAGAGTATACAGTATGTGCAGCTCGAGGACGTGAAAGCAGATAGCAGAAATGGACAATATAAGGTGAACATATTTTTATTCTGACAGAAAAGCAGCATCAGGATCTGTGAAACAACATTTAATAGCCTTCTCTAAGGTGCAGTTAGACAAGCTGTAGTTAAAAAAGGATCAGGAAAAAACATCCCCAGCACTAAGAATAAACTGTAACCTTTAACAAAGATCTCAATATGCTCCTCTCTGACTGCTAGTCTGGTTAATCTGCATGGATCTGCACAGACTATCCCTTAACACAAAGCATCAGTACAACAATGAGCCATTTTACTGGAGACTTATTATTACCCATAAAGATCCCATGTTAATGGGGTAGGGAATATTCGGATGAAACCTCCTCTCCGCTCATTCTCCTCTCTCACGCGACGAAGAACTTTTATCTAGGAACAGAAAGAGGAAAAAAGCCAACAAAATAGATACAATGGAAAGTAAACCGTGGAACAACACCTCAGTTCCAAAGAATAAGAAGGCTGTTATGGCAGTCCGGGGAGTAAGCTGTATACATACAATATCCATAGGCAATTTCACCTTACATTTAAATTCTGAAAGAGTCTACCACTACAGCGCATATGCATGCTTGGCATGACTGAGGGCAAGGACAGTACTAGCAGTAAAATTTAGCAGTTTTGTTCTGAAAATTTGCATTTTTCTAAACAGACTCTTTTGTCCTGTTTCTCGTACACATGCACTAGCTCTTCGCTGAGCAAATATCCCCACATACTGTGTGAAAGCAAAGGTAAATACAAGATGTTCAATGGCCTACTTACCTCCTCCATGGAGAGACCTAGCACAGAGCTGCCTTGCCTTCCTGTTGCTTTTTCCCTGCCTGAGGGCATTAGGTTTTTCATTTCGGCATCACTGGCCGACAGAGGACGGGCACGCTGTAGAGACAGTGCAAATCCAGATTTTTGCCCTTTTCCTCTCTCAATTTATTAAAAAAAAAAAAATCAGTTACATTCAAACTCCAGGCCCCCATGCCCAGCAGAATATACTCTCTAAGATACTACAGCCAGAATTCACATGCCCACACTCCAGCTACTGAAGAATCCACACGCCAGCAGGCGCTAAGCACAAGGATTCACATTCCTAGTTTTTAGCACAGCAGGACTCACAACTCAGGCATCAATGCCAGTATTCACACCCCTAGCCCCTTCAGGAAAACCATAAAAAAATCCACACCCAAAGGGTTCTAGAGCCAGGATTCACACTTATAGGCCCCAAGTACAGTGGCATCCACACCTCAAGGGCACCAGAACGATGATTCTCTGTCCCAGTTGTAGTGACATACTAGAAAAATAGAACTGTAATTCACTGATGAGATAAAGTTGCAGGAAAAAAGTGAAAAATTCAATTCAACACTCATTATACTTATTCTTTCGTTACCCTATTGCCGGATCACAACTTGCTACTTCTTGCACTGAGCAGACAGATCTTGTATATGAAGATACATGCTGCAAATTTGCATACATGTGTAAATTTAAAAAACAAAGAGAAAAGAAATAATTTGCAGAAACTCTCTCAAGACCATTCTTAATCTAATATGTTGTCCTGATCAATTATAACAAAGCACAGGAATTCAAAGTATCTCCAAATTACCAGGATTATAAAATCTCAAGATCCCAACAAAACTGAAAGCCTTGAACATGTTCTCAACAGCATTTTAACTGGGCTTAGGCCCAAGTTCACATAAACTGCCTTTGTAAAAAGAGCATTAAAACAGTTTATCTCAGAAGGTCTCCTGCCTTTATACAACAATCAAACATCCTGTTAGCACCATACTGAGCAAAGAATGTAACAGAAAACCTTCTTAATCTAGAAAGGAGAGAAAAATACAGTAGAAACCTTAAGTGAGGAAAGCCTGAGGTGCTCAGATTCATAAGAATCTTCAGAAGAGATCAGGTTGTACCTTTATTTCTAAGGACTATTTGAATGGGAATTGAATTCCAGTCCATCTGCCTCATTAGAAATTGCAAGCAGCTATACAGAATCTGCAAGGGAAGCAACTGCAAAAGCAACAGGGGTTGTACTAGAATGGGCTGCATAGGACATAGCAAAATCGAAAGAGTAAACTGATATAGCAGGTACCACCTGAAACATTTTGTTAAGCCTAATGAAAACCGAATCAGTAAAAACAAAAGAAAACACACAACAGTCTGCACAAGAGAGTAGGAGACACAAGCATTTTTAGAAGAAATAAAAATGTTAGTAGTCAGGCAGGTTTGTTTGATGCTCTAGATGACCTTAAGTTGAAAGTTTTTTAGTTTTTCCTCCTAACTTCCCCTTATGTCAGAAGGGCAACCGAACAACTTTGCTTTAACACCTTCCTCTAAAATTTCTTACTAGGTAACCTCCACTTAAAAACCATTTCCTGACACCACCATTAACAATCATGAGAGACTTGTTGCTCAAAGACAATGTTATAGGAAATTTTTCATCTTATCAGATAATCTCCTTTTCTAATGAAAAGCTTCAAAGAAACAGTCTTTATTTTTAAAATACAAACAGAAAATATATGCCTGTCTATCGGCACACTGGGACTATGACTAGAGAAGCTCTGGCTCCCACCTGGGAACAAACTACTTTACTGTCAAAATGGTAGAGGAAAACCCTAATTTTACTGAACCTCCTGCACTAAAACTTTCTTCAGTCTTTCCCTGCAGGATTCTCTCTTGCTGTAGCATAGAAATGTCTCCAGCTTCATAAAGTTCTTGCTGCTTCTTTGACCCAGCTTATCTTTTAAAAGTATAGATAAAACCAATGGCTTTGATTCATCTCCAAATTCTGCAAGTCTCTCTGGTTTCAGCATGATTCTCATTGCACTAATCATTGACAACAGCTGGCAGAAAGATCCCTCCTATTTTCTATAAAACCTCATTATTCAGTTAGATTTTTTTCTAGTCTTATCTTTTCTCTTAACCTCAGCTAAACTTATACACAATGGCATAAATGACAGTCCATAGAATGAATTAAGCTCTCAAGACGATTCCATCTGTCCTACCTTCCTTCCTGCTGGGAAGCTTCATAATTGCTATTACGCTAGCACAGGAAAGCCCAACAGCAAAATGCTATCTATCTACTGTGTCCCTGCACAGCCTGGGGCTTATAATTGTAAGCTAACACCAATTTGTCCATATGGCTTGCAAGGAGGGCAGCAAATTGATCCAGCTTCTCTAGATGTCAAGTTTGGCTTATGTTAAAGGTATACAGTTCTACATTTTTTCTGTTAAGAAGTCCTTTTTCTCATCCTCTCCAATTATTGATCCAGTTCACCCTTGAATTTTTGAAGCTTCCTTACTTCTGAAGTAATTACTGTTTTACAAATAGTAATTACTTCTCTTGCCGGGCCACATGAATTTTGTCAAAACAGATTCACCTGTGCTATCCTCTTTCATTCAGACCTATTCCATACCTTGTAGTACGCAGAGAAAATTTCCTCCTCCTCCCTTCTGATAAGTGACACTCCTCTTTACTGCTGCTTTCACCAACTTTTCCTTTACCTCTGCACTTTTCAATGACTTGCCAGATCCTGAATATACACTGTGCTGCCATTGTCTTCATCATCTGATGACAGTGTCAACTTTATCTTTAAAAACCTATATCTGATTTCTTTAAAATGCAGTTCAAAAATACCTGCAGGCTTAAGAACCTCTGACAGGTTTCACCCAGCTGATCTACCCAGCTTGTCTTATTCCTGCTACATGGAAAATTATTCCAGGACCTATCCATCTCTTTTTTTCTTTTCTCCTTTTTTTTTTTTTTGCATAGGCTACTTAGTTGCATAATATATTTTGGGATCAGCTCTGCCAAAAGTATTGTACATACTAACATTTGAAATGGCATCCCTTACACGGGTAAAGAGAGCTGAATAAAGCCCAGTACTTACCAATCTGGTGTTTGTCGGTCGGGACTGCGCAGACACAGGACGCTACAAGAGACACACAAACGGAATAAAAATCTTGTGTTCTTCAAGACACTATCATCCCTACCTGAGCTCCAGAGAAGTGGTGAGTGCCCTAAAGCAAAAGGGTATAACTAAGGTTCAGAGAACTAGCTAATAGCTTCTATCATCTCATTTCAGATCTTGCTCCACAGATCCTCCACAAATGCATTCTGTCTCCATTCCAGACACAGCACTAATCTTAAAAGTCAGATGTGCTCAACGGTTCAGAATGCATCTGAACAGAGGTATAATTTTCAAAAGCACACAGAAAAGAGAGCTCTGCAGCAGGGTGAATGAACTCAACTATCAAGACCAAAATTCTTATTTTATGCATGATAAATATTTTCCTCTAAGTAACTCTCTATTAGCTATCTATTAAAGAGAAACAGGTGCTATCAATCTGAATTCTTCATAAACAGAGGGGAACAGAGGGGAAAAATAGCAAAAATCCTGAAATTCCAGAAGCCATTTCATTTAAATATCTCAACAACATTCCAGTTCTGGTGGACAAATAAGATATTATTTAACATTCAAGTACAGGTGTAGAAACAAACAGCAGGATGTCAAAAAGCAACCTGTATTACCTAATAAGGATTCATTTGGCATCAGGCCTATAAGCAAGCCCAATTCAATGGTAGGGGGTAGGTTCAAAAGAAAACTATTATCATCGCAGCTTAGATCTCGCCTTTGGTGGCAGTCAGGCTGCCTTCCTCCTCTCCAATGCCCAAGAGGAGCAAGGGGCATAAAAAAGGATCCTCAAGAGACCCATCTATCATTTCTAGCTATATTACAGCCAAGTTCTCCTCTACAGTTGGTCCTTACAAAACAGGCTTAGGTCTCTTTATTGCTTATGATTAACTGAAAGGACTCCAGCCCAAATCAACAAAAAGTTATAAAGGAAGTAGATAAATTGTTCATATCTCTAGAGGGTATTAGTGATCTGAGAGTCAAACCAAAGAAATTGCACAAGGAACTGGCAGTCCAATCTGGTGAAACTCAGAAACAGAAGTCACCATACATATCTCATGACAAGAACGCTAGTTTCAAGATGTCTTTCCCAGAAAGTGACCTTTCCACAGATTAAAGATGGCCTATGTGAACAACTAAAACTTAAGAGATCATGAAAGATTTAAAAAAAAAAAACAAAAGAGATCCAAAGTATCCTTTGCAACTGAAAGTGGGAACAGAATTATCAAAGACTCGATACAACCTGAGATAAAACGCATTCAGCAAAGAGTAGGCCAAAACATCTTGAACCATGTGAAGAGCTATACACCTATTTACCCATAGATTTTCCACTTAGCTATTTAAAAAAAAAGAAAAAAAGCTATAAAACTTCATCACCATATTAGAAAGCTGTTCCTTGTAAGCAAAACATAGGTGAAGGGACATATGTCCCAAAAAAGTAGTCCTATCTTGTATCCACTGCTTTCTGATATGAAATTTAGCTTTTAAGTAAAATCAATCTACAAATTAAAAAGCTTAAAATTCAATGCTTCCCAACTGCTCAATTTTCTAAACTCTGCCTTCTACAAATGTTATCAAATTAAAAAAAAAGAAAAAAAGACTTCAAGCCATCAGGGTCTAAGCACTCTAAGACAGAAGGTTATTCATTTTTTTCTAGAATGGTACCTGATTTATCTCATGTGCCTTTTGCCTGTCACAGAGAGCACCCTGACAGTCACAGGGATCTGTATGAAATCCCATCTATTAAACACGGCTCAGGAGCTGTAGATTCAGACACGTCTTATAGACACTCACATGTAATCTTACCACCTATTCACATCTCTCAGTGATTCCAGATTCTGAGTTTTACAAGAAGCAAAGCGTTACAATTTGTATGAGTTTTCCATGTGCTAAAATGGACACTCTATTGGTATTCTGTCACTGAACAAAAACGACTTTTCATTTCCTACTTGACTTCAGCTATGCATCATTGCCATACGTTACTCACAGGAGCATATGCACCACCTGCAGAGAGCTGGGATATATTCACTCGCAGTAAAAGTCTGGATTCAGGATACACTTCTTGCCTATTTGCCTCATGAGAAATGCATTTGAAAGTCCAACTGAAATAGGGGATTTCCCTGCCACTTGTGGGTGCTCCACCATCACAGCTATTTATGGGATTCATCTGGTAGCCAGAAAGAGACAGAGGAACAGCTGCCTTTAAACATTACAGTGCTAAGAAAGCACTATCTCAGCAGAAAAGGTAATGGACAGTCACAGCAAGCCACATGAGGCCTCAATCCAAGGAACCAAGGGAAAGGGAGAGATTCCAGGAGTAAAGGGGAAAGAAGGCTTAAATTTCAAATGCAAAAACACTTTCTGCCTGGAAAGAGGTCTCAAACATACTCATAAAGCTGTAGTGTTCTGGAGGCTTGTTGCCCACAACAAAATGAAATTGGCTGAAACGCCCATAACTCAGCTGCATCCCCTGAGTCTCTTCACATGTAGTTACATTAGAAATCCAGAAAGCCTCACTCATTCACTAACTCTCTCACCTTTGAGCCAAATTGGCTGAGAACGGCTTTCTTGCTGTTCTCCGCAGTTCTGGCTTATTGAAGTCACTTACCTGAGGCTTTTGGTATGGATTTCTCCTGACAGATTCAGATGAGTGATAAATGGCCCGGCTTGACCGCTGGCCTGGATCCTGGCATACGAAGCCTATGGGAATCAGAAGCCACATGAGAACTTTTAAAGACAGGCAAGCCCTGAAATATAAACCTAGCATTTCTGTTAACGATCTCTGTTTACATATGGCCGTCTGTCTCTGCCCAAGCCCCAAAAAGGATGCCTTTCCTTTCTGTGTGTGACTTTTTTTAATCCTGAAGTTTGCATATTGCATTACATTTTTGGAATAAAACTAGAATTTGCTTCAAAATTAAGTACTTAAATCAACAGCAACACAGAGATATACTCCCTTCCTTAAACAACTGAGCAGGCAACTTGATGACAATTCTCTCTTTTAGAATGAAAAGTAAGTTGCTCAGGTAACTGAACCAAGACATACTAAGGGTGCCTAAAAGGTACTGTGTACTAGAAAGTCATGCAGCTTTCATCATCTTGACTCCATTTCTATAGAGCCTAACCAGAATCCCTAACAGTCTTACCCACCGTTCACCCTAGAAAATGTAGAAATTCTGATTCTGAGGACTAAGTCCTCAGAAGTTGCCTGTTTAAGAGAAGTCTCCTGTTTAAAAGAAAAAGAGTAGTTATCTTCAAATACCAAACTAGAGACCCTTAATATCACCTAAGCATCACAGAGAGATGGACTATTCACAGGCTCAATCTGAAATGACCACATAAAACTTCCCCATGCTAAGCACAACTATCCTCTTACCTGAATTCTCCTCCACTACACTAAAAATTCCAGTCTCATAACTTAATATAGCTATCCAAGCACTGTCTAACATGCAGCTCAAACATACCTTTTATTGGCTTTAAATGAGGTAAATATTCAAGCAGCTTGTTGCTACACTCACCTACAAGGGTGAACATATCTGAGAGCATGCTAGCTTTGATCTTCAGGTCCAAAGGAGCATCACTATCCCCACATGCAAAAAAGGACAAGATAAATCATTTATCTGGTATAAAATGAAAGGATTGCATCAATATCCAAGCTGCTTTCCAATATATTTTCTTTGCATTGGTCCTTAACGCAGGCATCACAGAAGCAAACCTAGTGACTTTCACACACACAGGTAAACACCAAACACCAACAAGTTAACCTATTTCTGTTTATAAACACAGTACCTATTGATTTTATTCCTTTTCAAGGCTTTACTCTTCTAATTCAACATGTACAGCCTTGTTTTAGCTCTACGTGGCCAGAAACCTTTTCTTTGGATGTATACTACACCAGTACAGGTTGGGGGTGGACCCGCCGGAAAGCAGCTCTGCTGTGTTTGTCCTGGTGGACAGCAAGTTAAGCATGAGCCAGCAACGTGCCCTTGTGGCCAAGAAGGCCAACGGTCTCCTGGGCAGCACTAGGCAGAGTGTTGCCAGCAGGTCGAGGGAGGTGATCCTGCCCCTCTCCTCAGCCCTGGGGAGGCCACATCTGGAGTATCGTGTCCAGTTCTGGGCTCCCCAGGACAAGAGAGACATGGCACTACTGCAGAGAGTCCAGCAGAGGGCTACAAAGATGAGGAGGGGACTGGAGCATCTCCCATATGCGGAAAGGCTGAGGCAGTTGGGCCTGTTCAGCCTGGAGAAGAGAAGACTGAGAGGCCATCTCATCAATGTCTACGAGTATCTGAAGGGAGGGTGTCAAGAGGATGGGGCCAGACTCCTCTCCATGGCGCCCAGCGACAGCACAAGAGGCAACGGGCACAAACTGAAACACAGGAAGTTCCATCTGCACATGAGCAAAAACCACTTTCCTGCGAGGGTGACAGAGCACTGGAACGGGTTGCCCAGAGAGGTAGTGGAGTCTCGTCTCCTTCCCTGGAGATATTCAAAACTCGCCTGGACACGATCCTGGGCAACGTGCTCTAGAGGACCCTGCTTGAGCAAGGGGGTTGGACGAGATGATCTCCAGAGGTCCCTCCCAACCTCAACTGTTCTGTGATTCTGTGATATATACCGTATTTCATAGAATGGAGGTTTCTATCTTAAAAACTACAATTACCTATGTCTCTTCCACACAGAATCATAAAGTCAGATGGGTTAGCTCTGATGGATGAGAACAAATGACAGGGGAAAGTGATAGATACAGAGAGAACAGCTAATGGGACAGAAAGGAAGCATACTTAATTCTATCCAGTGGGAATAACAACAAATAGAGTTAAGACCAGACAAGTAAAGTTTGTTTTCTTGACAACTGAGAAACAAGTCATTTTCCTCACCACAGTGAAAGATGTCAACAACTTGGGGAAAGAGATTGGCAATCATAACAAAATGGAGCCAAGGATGCACATATGAGTTAGTTTTAAAAGGTAAAGAATGCAAATAATTCAGTGTGTATGCATATTAGCGCAAACCAACAAACCAGGAAAGTACACATTGCAGAAACATACTCATTGCACCTGAAAGCAAAATGGGTATTGTGGAAACTAGGGTGTTGAACTAGAAGAAGTTATAGTGCACACAGAAATAATTTGTATGCATGATAAAGAAGGAAAGATCAACAAGAGTGTCAGATATGGTTATTCCAGGAACTTATGTATCATTTAGAGCTGATTAATACTGCAATATCTTAGAGATATTACTCAGACACATTACTATAAAAATATACTATGCAACTACACTCTTGTAAAGTTAAACTGTAGTTCAGAAAACACATGTCTGAACCTCTACAAAAAGAAATTCTGAGGTTTCATTAGAGTTCAAGGTCAGCATAAGGGCCAAGAGAATACTCTCACTGTGAATTTCAGCTCAAGAAAATACTAGACCAAGAATCTGAGCCCAAGCATGCTTCTGCATACTCCAGTCAAGCATAATGCCTGAACAGTGCTTTGACTTTAAAATCTTAAAGCATCTACTGGGCCAAGCAGGTTGAAACCCAGCACAACAGTCTGGAGAGTTTCAAAATTTGTCTATGATGGGAGATTATGAAGTGTTAACAACAATGACAGACTGTGGAAGAGAAATAATTAAAAAGAAAATGGAATCCCAACTGGATTATTTCAAAATCTATTGCTGCAATGAGTTTGTTTATGCAAAGTAAGAAGCAAAGGACTATTCTCTCTGTCAGCTCTTAGCAGCAAAGGACTATTCTCTCTGTCAGCTCTTAGCAATGGAACAAATATTCCTGCAGGCCTCATGAAATCATCCCCTCCTAGGATCACAAGTTTGAAAGACAACTATGTCCAGCAACAGCTGTACTAAAGTCCAAGCCCTTCCCTCTTATGAAACCAGGAATCACTTACCAGGCCAACGATGGGGATAGGTTCACTTCTAACAACCAGGGCTTGAGAGTAGCATCAATAAGGACATCGAAACCATACAGCTCTGAAAACACAGTAAACATAACAAATTCAGCTTATGACACCTTTAAATGTCCAGGTAGGATCCAACACAAATCTCTATCTGGTCACTTCTCTCTCATTTATGTGAAATCCAGTGAACCCTCCAGAACTGAATAAATAACAACATTTCACAAGTGGGAAGTTTTACTCCCTAAGAAGGAAGGTTAAACCATTGTTTGTGGGGAAAAGAGGGAAGCAGAAAGTAAGTCTTAGGAAAATATTATATAGAAAAGAACCTCTGAAGGAGAAAAAGGGTCAAAGAAAGATAGAAGAACCAGATATTCTGTCATGCACAAACTTCAGTTCTTTCAGAACTCAGCTAGCTCTGTTTCTACATAGAAGTGACACAAGTACACCAGGTCCATCCTTATCTTTTCAGAGGATCCTAGAAACAACAGAACTTTGCTCTCCTTTTGCTTTTTAATCCCTATTATTCATTGCTCCAGTTAGGTATAGATAGTATCCTGTCTTTCAACCATAGGCTCCATCCCATTTATTCTTTTATTTTTTTCTGAAAAATCTCCATTGGAGTACAAGAGCCTTTGTCTCTGCAGCTCCCGCTACACAGACAATCTCCCATAACTCTTTATCTTATTGACATTTTGCCACTTTGCAACACATCACTTGAGAAATATTTTTTCCTTAGCTTCTAAAACATCTCTCTCACTCATAACATATTATGTCTGCTAGATGTATTGCGCTCTACGCAGGTCAGATTGAAGCCAGCTTCCCATTCCAGAACTGATTTTATTGTTTCACTCCATACAACACATTTTCTCTATTTTGGGATAGAGTTGCAAGAAGGCTGATGCTACACAAAGAGGACTGTAAATAAGTGTTGGCATTAATGCAATCCCCTCTTTCAATATTAAGAAACACAATTTATGTTCATCAGGGCAACTTGTGCACATTTTTTCAAAACAGAGTATTGGCAGAGAAGAAGGATTTCCATGGAATTAACCAGTTCCCTAGTGCCCAGAATGAAGGCATAAGAATTTATTTGCCATGCTGCTTTCCTTAAATTCTGGCCCTGGCATTTTGTCGCCTGCCTGACATTCATGCTAGCTCCAGGGAGCTGGACTGCTTGACAAGATCTTCCTATGTAGACAGTCGTGTGAGAGCTCATGTAGCTTATGATGGGAAGTTAATGAGCCGTGGGGGGGACTTGGAAGGGGAAGAAATGGCAGCAGAGTTTGCGAGCGTTGCCTGCTCACTTTTCTGGACCCTGTAGCCAGACAGTGAGTGGGAAGGAAAATAGCAGAGAGTTAAGCAGTTGGTTCACTCCAAAGAAATAAGGCTGAATCTACATTTGGCTGTCTTGCTTCCCTGACTGGGAAGGATGCAGTGGAGGAAAAAGGAGGAGGTGGGGATTCAAAGTGTAAACATTAGTAAAGCATTTTGAACAGGAGAAATCTCTGATAATTTTAATAATATAATTTCAAAAGACAATCCCACGTTTAAGTGAAGGGATATGACTCTCACTGCCCAGCAAACTCAGGTGGGCAGGCTGCTCATCCCCCAGGCAGAGAAGCAACGAGTGGGCCTGTGACCTCCCATCCCCAGGCAGGAAGCAGAGCATTTTGTTTTGACTAGCTGCTGCTTCTGCTGCTGGCCATTCTTTCCCTCTACCCCTCACAAGACCTTTGCTAATAATTTTGCTCCTCAGTCACTCATCCCCTCCCACACTCTTCTCCTTCTAATTCACTTGTTCTTTAAACCTCCCTCTTTCCCACCCCAGTAGTTCTAGTTACTCACTGACTGTCCACATTTATAAACATATATGGGAAACTTCTTGACATTGGCTAGCCCTGTCCCCTGACCATACTGCTGGTGCTAGACATTCCTTTCCCTCGCGTCTGCCTTGTTTATTAGGATAGTAAGCTCTTTGAGGTATCCCTTTTGGCTCAATTCAGTTGCTAAACACAGGCATCTGGTGCCATCCGCAATGCTCTTGGATCTCCTAGCTGGCCTCCAATAACATGCCACAAGGATCCAGGTCTCCTGTACATCCAGGGTCATTCACGCTAGCCTGAGATAGATGTGTCTGCTACCCCAGGACATTACAAGCGATGCAAGAGCCAAGTTCTGGCAACTGCATCAAGCCTTGCAAACACCTGTACAGGGCTTAGCCCAAAGGGGTCCTCAAGGCTGAATGGGGTACTATAAAACAAGTAGAAGTTTAATTGCTTGTGGTTCATACTGTTCTAGAAACTTCTCCCTAACCCTTTCCACATTTGGAAAGTGAACCACCTAGATTAAATATAGAAGAGGTAACCCTCCTATTGTGAAGCTCCACCTTCATTTATCAAAATAAATAAATACAAGTTGCAGTTTATATGCAGGCAGCGCAAAGATGTAAAATTACATGAGGATGGCAAAGATCAGAAATGTATCCTCTACAATTACCAGCTCCAGTAAGACTGCCATTTCCCTCTGCATGAGGAGTAAAGAAAATCGGAAGACTGAAATGGAAACGTGTTCTAGCCTCTCTCCTCAAATGGTTGCAATGGTAGGTTTACGACAGCCCATCTTGCAACACTGGTGTTAGTTTCTTCCATTCTTCTCTTAATAAGATACCAAGTTTTTGCAGTGCCTTCCCCTGCTCCCCTCCCCTTGCTACTACAATTCCCAAAAACATACTTCATTCTTGCAGTTTGCCAAAGAGATTGAAATTATATCAGAAGGTACTGGCTGTTGCCAGGGCTCAGTAAAAACACCCACTTCCTTTCCACCCCTGTAGAAAAGTCATTACTGACAGAGCTTCCCAGTTCTCCCAAAAGAAGTGCTAGCTTCAGACTAAAGTCTAACAGCTGTAGTTAAGCCATGGATTTTTTTTTTTTGCCCATGTCATTATTTAGGCAATAAGGCGAAGGCATGCTCTGAAGCTTTTTGGTTCTGGTAAACTACTACTTATTCCAAATGCGGGTTATAGTCCTGTCAGAGATGGCACTGGCAATCCCTTTTAGTAAATACCCCCAAAGAATTTGCTATTCTCTGTAAATCTAGCAACTAAGTCACAAGCAACGGTTTGTATCACAAACAATGTTTTCATAATTTCTTCATAGAATAAATAAGCTCAGTTCCTGGAAGGCTACTGTAAATCTGGTCTTTGTCCTCAGCTTGTTCACTGAGGATCAGCTTAGATGATGCCTTTCTCCCCTCGCCCTCTCCCTGCAAAAATAAAGCTTCTTATTGCAAATGACATATATTGCAATTAAATAGGACACACACACACACCTAAAAAAAGCTACATAGTGTGCAACACTTCTTCTGTAGAAACAGACTGCCTGATTTTTGAGGAGCAGCACATTTACAGACATTCTTAGTGCAAGGAACTACACTTGTACCACTGATATTCAAGTCTTCCCCTTTTACCTTTCTACTGTGCTGCAAAGCTATTTTGCAGAACATGCTTATAACGACAACATATAATCAAGGAACTTAGGTTACAAAAGTTACCTATGCTACAAATTCATGCAGGCAGCAACCAGTATGTCCAAGGGAGAAAAACTTTTAAGAGCATAGCGATGGAAGTGTTCCCTTGTTGAACACATTGCCAAACCTGAGGCTTCACAGACTGCACAGTATTTTGTAAATAAGTCAAACTCCTGGAAACCTCTTCAGCTAGTGATGGTACAGCATCTGTCTAAACTCTGGTAGAGCATATCTTAACAGCTATAGGGGCATAAACAGTCTGTGTGTTAGGGGCTATCACCATGAGGTCCAGAATCATTCTTGCTATTCCACAAAAAGGTCAGCTTCACAGCTTAGCATTTGGTAAGCAAAACTCTCTTGTATCAAAAGATACCAGAACGAAGTTCTGGACGCAGAAGGTTTGGAGAAAAGTAGTCTCGCAGAGGAATTTGTCTTGCACTCCAAATACATATTCTTTAACCTCAGAGGACTTTATTAAAATAAAGAAAGGCTCTAACTCCCAAGTGTTATCATTACAAAAAAGGATCTAATAAGAGGGTACAGAAATACTGCAAATCTTGGTGTTTTTGTCAACTTCATGGAAAATGTATGCTGCACCAGCCAGAGCCTACCATATTAGCTTGGCTAAATGAGGAATTACTTCACTTACAGACAGAGACACTTTCTCCACTACAGTTAACTGAAAAAAGTCCATTGCTTATAACATGACTTCTCAATGTTTTTTTCCTTCCACTGAAGGAAGGACATTGAAGAACATTCTGTCACATTCCCTGAAAAATCCTGCAGTCTTCAAAAGTGAGTTAATTTAAGCCTACCTACAGAAGCCAGGCCTTCAGACTTCAGTAGGGCTCATTATCTATACCAAATCAGACTCAGGATCATCTTTCTGCTCTGGAGTCAGAAAAGCTAATAAGGCCATTTTCAAGGCTAATATCAAAGAACGGGAGCATTGGTGCAAACTGGGCTGTCTTTACAGTCTTATTCTTACTGAGTATGTAAAATTACCATGCTCAGAAGGGGAAAAAGTTCTTTAGCCCAGAGTGTGAGATTATAGCCTGTGAAAAGGTTAACGTCCCAACGGTCACCCTGGGACAGTCTCTCTACTTCCATTACGTCGCCAAGGAACAGAAGAGTTGATATCGTAGTTGTTCTCATTTAATAAATTTAGGGGGACATAGCAGATAAGGTAAAATGAAAGCCATAGGCCTCCACAGATATGCAGGTACATGATGTGAGGAAGAAAAGAGCATGTTTCCCGACCTCATTGCCTGAGGTTCTTTTGATTTCAAATTCCTATATTAATAAGCTTCACTCGAAAACTCCAACAACCTTAGCCCCAGCAAGTGTAGGACATAAGTGTACACCAGTGTTCCCTATTTCCATATTCTGAAGTCCTTAATGTCACTGAGAGACCCAATTGCAGCACAAGATGTACCGAGAAGCAAATTTTGATACAGACTTCGGTAACACAAGTCCACTGATGCTGAGAAGTTGGTGGTGCTGGCTGTTTCTTCATTGCTGTTTATGGAACTGTTCAGTCTTCTTAGGTCTGCCCCAGTGCCCTGAAAAAACCTGTTGAAGAAACTGGTTCTATCAAGCTGAGAACAACTTTCTAAAGCAATCAGAAAGCTTCAGCAGTAGCAGAGATACTGACTCCTTTAGCTGAGCTCTGGGCACTAAATCGTCAACGCTCAATTAGGTACCATCCAGAGCTATGAAGTGATGGGTAGGGAAAACAGTGAAGGGATAACGATTGCTCCTACAGGCGTTATCACTAGAAGAGCTATCCCTCAAAGTCTTCTTACTGTTAAGGTTCAGCTGACATTTTCGTTCCGTTTTGGAGATATATGTTATTACAAAACCTACACTAGCACATTATGATTATCTAGAGGCCTGTCCAGAAACGTACAGGGCTCCTGAATCTGAGGGTAGCCAGAGGACTCTAAGAAAAACCTTTTTCAGACTCAAAACACTGTCTTTACATGCTGTTTTTAAAGCAAAGACTAGCAGCAATGAGAAAAAAGAGAACGGATTATGCTTTGCAAAAAGAGTAAATATACGGAATAGTTATTCTGTTCTTCGTGGGATCTATGAAACCAGAAAAAGAGATAGGATACGTGTATGGCATATATACAGCTGACCCAAGAGTCTCCAAGCAGAGACTCACCCACACTCATGTTGAGTGAGCCTGCAGATAAATTCTTGAAGAATCTTAACTTTTGATATTCTGTAAAACTCATTATAGAGCATGACAGCAGTGTTCAATGTTACAAAAGGCTACTTGTTCTACTAGGGAAATGAAATGCTCATAAACAGCAGTAATGTAGATGGTTGAGAACTGGTGATTAGATACAAATTAAGACTTCTTTAAGCATTTAGCTCCAGGTCAGTACCACACAAGTGCAATAGCCCATTGTTTGCTCTATACCATCTTGAGGTAGACATGATTAGAGGCATAATTCAGCCTTAGGACAACATAAGCAGCTGAGTGAAACACTCCTTTCCTCGGTGGGAATCAAGAAACATTCAACTTATCCTACCCCTGCCCTCTTGAAAGCAGAAGAGCTCAACAGTCCCACTGCTTGGGTTGACTTGTGCTGGGAATGAAACAGGGGACTTACTTTATTGCTTCTTCAGGCTCATGTTTCAGCAAGTAGAGAAAACAGTGCCACATAGGATCCTGGCACAAATGCTGCACGCAGTTGCCTTCATTACATCCCCCACTGAACCATCCCAGGGAAAGTGGACTGTCTGAAAGCAGACCTCATTGCCTTTTCTAGCCCACCCAGAAGTGCATGCTCCAGAAGAGAGAACAACGCAGCCTTTAACCGGCTTGGGCATATGTATCCCAATCCCACCTCCTGCTCACATTTAGTCACCGCTGCAAGGCCATGCCCAGAGTATACAAAATTCCCACCAACCCGATGCTGAACCCAATGCTGCCAGAATCCTGCATCTTTTTAACTTCATACAGGCTCTGAAGAAGATAAAGGTATTCTCTTTCACAGTCAGAAGAAGCTAACAGGTTGATCACTGTCATCAGAGCACATTTTTCTCCACACTTGAATACCTTTGCTTCCTTGGAAACAATGCTTGTCATAGTTCTTTTGCCCCTTAAGAACAGATAACAGCACATTTTCCCCTTTATTGTTCTGACCTCAGAAGATTAGCATTTTCAAATAAGTATGGACCCCTTTCCCCAGTCAGCGTTGAACAGGAGCATCACACTTGCCTTTTTATATGCAATCTTACTCTTCTCTTCCCCCCCTTACCCAGAGTGACTATATCCTAACTGTCTAAGAATGTGACTGAATTGTGGGCTATGTTAGGCAGACTCAAGCAAGATAAATCTTTGAAAGATGACTTCTTCTACCAAAAGAAAAAAATCAAAGGATGTTTCCAGAAATAGTATATAAGTGGACCAATGACCAACCTTGTTCAGACCTAAACAGACTTCCCAACTTGACTGAGAGCTACTGTCCAGAAGAATTAATTGCAGAACAATATAAATCAAAGGATTGAACACTTTCATCAGAAAGAACTGTAGTTTTTTTCCAGTGTTATTTGGCGAGCTTGTTGTTTGTTGGTTTTTAAAAAGCACAGGGGATGGGATGTTCATCCCAGGTTTCTCATCAAGTTCATACTCAAGCAATTACAATCTACCCCCTAAATTCTCCCTACAGTCTTAATTGGGACATTACGTTTCTCTTTCTTTAAATTGAAAAAACAGCAAATATACCGCATAGAAAACACCTGGGAAAGGAACGAAGCAACACAGCAGGATATCTAAACTGTTACAGAAAGAAAGTGGGCAGCCTGATCTAAACAAATAAGAATTGGTGATTTAATCTTCAGAAAAAAAGGTGGTAATTTTGCTGGAGTCCTGCCCCCACAACAGCATTAAAAAGACTGCACTAGAAAATACATCAAGTTACTCACGTTTTTCTAGGATCTTTCCAGCTAAGACCTTCCTCTGTATCTGAATCACTGATACAGGTTTCAGAACTCAGATTCTTTTTAAATGATCAGTCTTCTCAGGGCACACATACAGTTTCATTATTCATAGTCCAGAAAAGGGGGAAAAACAGGCTCTTGGGAGCATCTATATGCTGCCTTGAAATTTTCACTCCCAGTTTTCTCCCTGTGCTCTTTCACAGAAACAGCTATGAATTTAGGTATTCTGAAGATTTCCAACTAGAAAAAAATGCTTTTTTACAATAGGGTTAAAAGTGGCAAGGCCAAAGAGGGTCAGAACAAGACACAGGAATAAAGAATCAGCCTTATAGGATGACAAGGGCAGCTCAAATCCTTGGGACAAGGACCACCACTTAATTGTGGGGGAAGGTGGCAGAAAGTACTGAGCTCTGGGAATGCCTCTGGCTCCCAAGGGAAGCAATGTGGCTCCTACTTAAGCTCTCTTTCCTGGGAAGCTCTTAATTCATGTTTACACTGAAACAAATGGAACAAAACAGTTTATTTGTGGGGGAGCATCTGAGAGGGTGGTTAGTACAGCCCTGGGGAGGCAGCAGGAAGTGGGATAACCTCAGAGCCAGGCCCTGCAGAAAGCACACGAGGAATATTAGTTTCCACATAAGCAGCTCAGAGGAAAGTAGAGACAGAGAGGAAAAGGGAGAAAAAATAAAGGCAGTTAAGGTTTGTTTTTTGTTTTTTTATTTTTAATCCAGTTGTTGATATTCTTGGAGTAGCTGCTAAACTACTACTTCACTAGAAGCAATTATCTAACTTACAAATCCCCATCTACACCAAGGTTCTCCATCTCTGAAAGAAGGCATCAGAGTCATTTAGGAGAAGCTAAGGCCAGAGAGATAGCTAGTTTGTCAGATAACCAAATAATATATCTGCCATGGCTCCTCCTTGGATTCTTCACTGTGTCTCATGACCTCCGAGAATTCAACAATGACAGGACTTATGTCAGCATAGGGAAAGTTGCAGGACTGTAAATACTCAAGCACAATGCAGGGACCACACAAGTGGATTTACCTGTCACAGTTTAAATATAAGTTCCCCCCAGTACCTAAACAAATGATAGTCTAAGCTAAGCTTTGTCATTGGTTTAAGCACTGACTATTTGAGGATAATTTATAGATTTGTTTCCCCTGCTCTGAGACTCCTACCTCATGTGTGTATTTGTGTGTGCAGAGGGCAGCTAAGAGCAAGAGGAGGCCACTTTAGGGAAAGCTGGAAAGCAGCCACTGGAAAGCAGGAGAAGGTACACTGTGGTACCAGCCGCTGCTTTCTGGAGCTCTTCCCAGCCTCTGCTGCCAATGAGTTCTCAGAACCCTTTGCCAGCACATAGTTCTACATCTAGCTTCCAACAGAAATAGGCTTTGACGCCACCATGTGGTATTCTCACACAAGCACAAGCCCAGAAGCATTGCCACCACCATCACTCCAGGCACTTTGTTACACATTCCTTCCTGGCCCTCAGATATAGACAGTAATTCAGCATTACTGTTGGGCTAGATGGCTCAACGTAAGTATTAAATGCTCTGGAGGAATGTTTAAAACAGTTACCCTTTGCAAGTGCACCAGTGAGACAGTTACTTTAACTTTCCAGCACTCCCCCCAGCCAGGTCCCTTTTCATCTTCCCCTTTTCTAGCATCAGACTCTGATGGATGATCCTGGTACACAGGCAATGGCGATTCAACATCCTCGAACCTCAGAGAGGCTTACACTGAGAAAAAAATAAAACTAGGCCTCTGGTTTTATCTGTAGCACTGGAAAGCTGGAAGTTGCAAACAGCACTTAAGACCCAAAGATGCCCCCAGTTCCTTACCAAAGCAGCTGCTACGATGTGAAAGAAAAGTTTTACAGGCTGTGGCAATGACCAGCTCAGCAGAAAGTACAGCCTTGATAATCAGGTCCTCCACATTGGCCATCAGTGCTGCAAGGAGGGGAGAGAGGGGAGAAAAACAAAAGTAGACTGAGAAGCAGCACAGAATATCTAGAAAAGCATGAGTGTACGCATATGGACACACATCCTTGTGAATCAAAGCATGTAAGAACTTATTAATAAACAAAGCCATAATGTTTATATGAAAATCCATGCAAGCAGGCTGTACATGCATAAATATTCTAGTGCAAAAACACTTACAAGTGAGTATGATAAAAGTGAGTACATGTACAGGGCAAGTAAGCAGAAACACAAGTAAGCAGCACAAGTCAGCTGGAGTATGATCACTGCCCACACAGAGTATCAGGAAGGTTTAAATAAGATTGCACTAGAAGATAAACCCTCAAACTACAGGGTGCAAGCCAAAGCCATTGAGGTACAAAATAAGTTTTTCCTTGTGGACTTTAATGAATTAACTGTTCTGTGATGTTGCACCTTCCTCTAAAGCAGCTGTTCCCAAACTATGATTTACGGATCATTTCAAAGTGATATGATTGGTAACAGCTCCCAGGCCTGCTGGCCTAAAGGCACTCTGCAGTTTCAGTAAGGAAGCTCTCTCTAGCTCCTACATAAACCTGCAAACAGAGCTCAGGACAAGGAAACAGAGCTGCGACAGGGAGCAAAAGGCAAGAAAAGATATGTATTGGATGGAGAGCTGGGTCCTATGCTGGTCTTGGGATGAGTCATGCAATAGAAAGAACATCACACTGTTAGTTTCTATTTTCAATAAGAGAGAATAAATAATAGAGAAACGAGAGAAGAAGGGAATGAACAAACAGTGGAGTCCTAGTCTGAAAAGTTAGTGCGGGGCGGGGGGCGCACCCTTCCACACTCCTCAAAGGGAAAATAAGCAAACACAACAAAAGCTCCAAACAAACCCATGCACACTTGGGAATCCCTGTCCCAAAGAACATCTAGTACAAACCACTTAACTAGGGAGTTCAACTCAGCCCTACAATTACTATTTTTCAAGTTCAGAAGATGACATGCAGGGACACGAACAACTGCTAAAGAACATGCAAGCAAATTCAGATGTGAATTTCTGTGCCAGGAGAGGACTAAGTGGAAGCATAGGAATGCCAAAGTGCACATAAACATCCCAGAGCACAAAAAAACTTGCCAGCTCAGACAGGGCCAGCACTCTCCAGCCAGCATTCTGCCTCCCTACGACCAGAACCAGATGCATCAGAGAAAGGTGCAAGAAGCCTTTTACAGTTAACAGTGAAACCTCCTCACATTCTCAGCAGTTTACTTAGTCATAAGAGTGTATATCATACACTTTAGATCAGAAGGGAAAAACAGTATCAAATAACCAGTGGTGTACAATTGATTGAAAATGTATGGTGCAAGTGATCGGATAGCCATGCGTGCACATGATGGGGAAAAGGTCTACTTCCATTTGAAAGCCAGGTTCAAACCCCTTCCTCCACCATCTAAGTGTTCCCTGGCAACACTCGCAAGATGGGCATAGCTGCTATCAGTTAGTGTTACTGAGGGCTCAGTATCACAGGTAATTTATCCCTTAAGAAAGGATATACCTTGATTCTGCTCTGCAGATGCATTTACTCCCAGCAGACCCGGCAAAGGTGTGGAAGAGGGAGCTATTTTATATGAACACAAACTGAAGTGAAAACACTCAGCAAAAACCTGAGCCATGGAAAGATGACACCACATCCAAGAGTCAAACTGGCACAGTTCTCCAGAGGTTGGTCACTCATCAGACTGAACAGGCCATGGGAGCAGAAGAGGGAGGGAAGCTTTTAGAAGGGATGGGATGACCTTAAGAAACGGGAAATGTAGGTAAAATATTAAGAAACACACCCTGAGAAAGTCTCAGAATATAATTTGCAGAAGGGAAAGTGTAGGACTCATCTCTGGGGACACAGAATAAGTTCACAGCCCTAGTGAATTAGCTATAAGGAACACTTCCCTCCACCCTGTTCTGGTGCTAAATGGGACTCACTAGGGCTCTTCCCTGACTTTTCTTAATATTCTCACTAGGAGGGAGGATGGTTAAGATCCAACAAAGGAACAAAACAATAAAATCTCTACTGACCTGCTGTGTCTCTCCCCTCTTGTTTTAAGTACCTCAGCATTGCACTCATGCTCCATTTGTTTCCATAATCCTCTACTTCAGGATCATCACAGCTAAAACAAACCAAAAAAGCAAGTTCACCTCACTGGCCTATCCTGAGGACTGCCACCAACCTTATATCCATTCAGGTAAATTGACCCAATCCCCAGAAATTAGGTTCCATTTTCCGGCCAAGTACCTGACATAATCTCCACTCTTCTTGTTGACGCTGTAGTTGGTCAGATGCATAAACTGGTTTTTAATGTTCTTGGATGCCTGGTCATACCTCACTGTTGCAAACCTATAAAGAGGAATAAAGACTTGTAGTGCTTTTTGAAAGTATGACATGGTTACTAAACACGTCCTACTGTAATTGAGTGACCTGGGTAGCACTAGAGAGAGGATGTACCCAATGAGACTTTATCAAATGCAACCTCCTCCCAGTAAAAATTCAGTTTATTCACTAGAGCCACATGAAGGTGCATATAGTCTTGTTTTCAGCATCTTAGAGCAGAGATCTCCGTTTGTCTTCCTGGAAGTTTTCACAGCCTAACACTGTACACTTCATGCTAGGAACATTTTTCTTGACTGCTGAAGATTTGTGGTCCTCAGATATACTGGCCAGGCAGGCCACTTAGCTTTAGTCAGCATCAAACTTAGCTTCAGTCCCTTCAATTTCACAACAGGATCTACTTCAAATGCGTAAGATCCAGCGATCTTGGGAAATGCACATGTATAGAGAGATCATGCTACATATGCATACCAGAGTTAATATTCCCTGAAGTCTCATATGAGCACAGTTCAGCTCTTGTATACTCCAAGAACACCTTAGGAAAGATTAAGGGTGGAAACACATTTCTGTCACCACCAGTAGCATCACCACTACGCAACCTGCAACTGGAAATCCTCTTTCTCAAGAGTCACTCAGGAAACCAGGCACAATCTGCAGGCCAAATCAATTTGTCCAACAAGGCAGCAGCTCCTTCAGACTGCTGTCGTTCTTGGAGACCACTCAGCCCTTACATATGACAACTCTTATGACACTCATCCCTTACATCAAAGATGTCATATAATTCATGTACAAGGAAAGGACCAAGGGACTTTAGGAAAGATAACTATCAGTAGCAAGTCACTGCTACAGCTTATCTAGCCCAAAGCCCACTCTCTGAACCTTGTTATAGCTACCCATACCACAGTTAAATCAGCCCCTTTATTACAGAAATATCATTGGTGACTTCTTGATTAAAGGTATTACCTGTACTCCAACCAAGTGCCTCAGCACCACTCCCTTAGCCACATATTGCCATCAGGTTTGTGTAGCCACACAGTGAGCTGAATCAAAAAAACTGTTCCAGATGAAAAACAACATAGGATTTTGATTTGTAAGGCATTAAGGAGATCTTTTTTTGTTGGGGAGGGAGGCAGAAGAAGGAGAATGGGGAGAGAGAGGACAGTAGGAAAGGTAGATCAACTCCCTGATTCACACAGCTACAAACAGACAGGTATAATTTGATAAGCATTTTTTTCAGTGGTCATGTAGACTTAACACATCAGCACTCTCCTTCCTTATCTACCCACTGTCATTCTACCTGCACAATACTGGCACAAGAGTGTCTGTCAAAGCACAGCAAGCAACAGCCTTTTTTTGGCTGAGTTATTTGCCAAATTATATCAGCCCACTGCATGGGTGCAGAAACGCTTGCGGCGGCACATCACAAAGGACAGCACAAGCCCATGAACAATCAGAGGAATAAGGCATGAAATTGCACTGAAGCAATTTAAACAGTAGTCCTGTCAAAAGCATACCTCTTTAGTAAAAGGTTCAATGAACGCTAAAAGAACTTAAGCAGACATGGCTGTGCGAGGCTCTTTCCCCGCCCAAAAGCAAACTGCTATTCAGTTGCCCCTGGTGTTCCTCCACTACAGTCTGCATGGATCAGTTCCCTTCCGGTCAACACATAACTGCGTCAGGAAGGGAAAAAGACAGCACGAGAATGGGAACAGCAGCCAGGAAGAGTGCAGGACTGTTTCAAATCACACATGGCGCAAAAGTCGCATTATAAAGGTGCACTTGCATGATCAGTCTTAGTCTAAGGATGCACTGCAGCTGAAAGTTCACCACCTGCTTAGCTGCACACACTCTAGGCACCCTCCTTGATCTGCTCCACAAATCGTACAGCCACAGGCAATTCAGATCAGTTCATGGATCTAACTGAAGAGCAGTTTGTGTAAATGTAGAAAAATGCAATCAACTTTCAATCAGAGGCAGATACACTCTCTTCTGGGCATGACAAAGGAGAGTGTTAGGATGCACAATCAGGACAGAAAGAGGCCAGCACCTCCATTTTAGGAGCAGGTCACAAATAACCTTAAAAAAAAATGCACAAACAAAAAACCACACACATTAACCAGACGATAATACAAATGTGACTACAAACAGTAAAATTCTTAACTTGATGATATATCCTTTTCTGGATAAGTGTAACGTAATGATTTTATTATGCTGCACACAATCAATTCCTTTTTCAAGGTATATTTTAAGCCTCAACAAATTTCAGAGAAAATCCATAAAACAAAGATCAAAGATAGAATCCAGGGCATCCTGTTGACAGGACTACCTGTATGACCAATATTAACGACCACAACTGCTGCTGTAACAGCACGGTCCACAGCAAAAACCTCTTCCCCACTCTAACCATCCTCCTACAATAACAGATTAAGATGCCAGCGCCTCAAGAAAGAGAAAGGAAGATGAGAAAGGGTAAAAGAGAAGTCAGGCACATGATATCCAAAGAGGCCCTGGTGAGATGGAAAGAAAGTACCAGGCCAGGAGGGCAGGGTCAGTTGTAGGAGCAGGAGAGTGGATTCAGTGAGCCCCTCAAAGCGGCAAAGGGAGAAGAAAAATGGAGGAGGGAGAAAGGGATGGGAATTTAGAAACACAACTCAGGGAGCATCTGGCTGTGCAATGAATTTGGCATCCAGAAAAGAATGCAGCTCTCCCTCCCCCTTCACTTTAATAATAGCTATCTCTCTTCTTCCCTCCCCTTATTTTCCATAAGTGAATAAAGCTTTCAAAAGAAGAGGAACTATACAAGAACATCCAATGACAAGTTACACAAAAAAATCCTTTCTTTAGAAAGATCTGCCAAAAATCTCATTTCTCAGAGAAAGTGAGGCCACTGCTGCTCTCAGTTGGTAGCCATTTTGAGAAGTCTCTTGCTCTCTCCCTCCCTCTCCCCCCCAGCTGAGCAATAGCAGCAAATCCATGAAGATGCACATAAGATAAATTTCTTCTTAAATACAGAGGTGGGAGCAGAAAACAAACAAAAAACATTTCATGATGTAACTTCCAAGCCACAACTAAGTCTTCTGCCAAAGGAGAAACTAACTCTTGAAGGGCAAGGTTATTTAAAAAAAAAAACAAAAAAAGTCAGTCTCCCCCCCAGCCTTTACCCAGATTTTGCACCAAATTTTTCTGATCATTAACTACATGTGAAGTTAGAGCAGTTAGCAACAGAAAGAAGCTTGGAAGTTCAGATCCCCTTTCCACATATTCAAATACTTTTAAGCTGTGGAAATTTCTTTTCAACTTAACAGTAAGCTTCCTGGATTTAGCACTTCCAGTTTAAAAACAATGACAACAGCCCTGTCATGTATTTTGTTCTTTATTATGGCTTTATTATCTCCACTTTAACAGTCATTAATTAGCAGCATACTCTAAGCATTTGTTGATAGGATCCTGGTAACCAGATCGTGGAAGATACTCTGCCCAAAAAAAGAAGGAATTTCAGAAAGGCATGGTACCTTCAACACTTCCAAGGGCTCAAAGCAGAGGGTGATGATGTCCACCACACTCACCAACCTCTTTTGTTTAAATTCTGCACATAATCAGCAACATAAGCATATCAACCCCTGGCAGACCTATTCAATACTTCTAATCAATAGCATTTCACCTTTCAATTGCTTACATTAGCTTCCTTTTCCAGAGACTTTCCTCAGTCATTGGCAGGTCTGAGCTCCATGCCCTAATGTTGCTACAGGATTTAACGTTGCTACAGGATTTACATTTCCATAAAAGTTGCTTATCCAGAAGGGACTGCAATGTGTTCTACAACTCTAAATACATAACCTTCTTTCTCTCCTCCTGGCATGCTGTCATTGTAAGGGTATCATGGAACAATTCAACAACACATCAAAAAAAACCCAAAACTTTAAATGATCCAAATCATAAAGAAAAAGGGTTAAAAAATACTTTCAAAGGGGAGGGTGTCTTTTTTTTCCCCCCCCTCAAAAGAAGAAAGATTTAAGCAACAGAAACACATTCCATCCAAATATATTCTCTAGGAGTTGGTTTGATTACCTTAGTATCCCTATGCAAAGTACAAATCTGCAAATCTCAAAGAGAAAATCCAAGTTACTTCTAGAGCCCCTGTCAACAGCCTCTAGGTGTTAGAATGGTGACAGAACATAAATACAATGCTAGAAACAGCCTACATCCCTTACTTTGTGTTTAGCACTGGCTTGATACAATATTACTATCACTGAAGTACCAGTTACAGTTACCTTTAGTACTCAACACTTCTATAGCTTTTCATACTATACATCACTGTCTTTCTTGCAACGTAATAACACAGCTATTCATCTACCACATTGGTTCTGTCCAGAAAGGAGAATGAGTCACATGCATGCAATGGAACATCTTGTTTGAACAGAATTTTAGAATTTAGAGACAGTAAGGAAGAGTCTTCACAGTAAGAATGGAAAGTAGTAAACTTTCAAAGACTGTTAAGATCTTCTGGGTGTTAAACTGAGATTAGAATAAACTGTCAAAAAATCTTTCAGTCTGTTAATAGAGGATGGTCATGTTTCTGCCCACTTCATTAAGAAGTGCCAGCAGTCCTTTACTCATCCCAGGCATAGACTGTTTACCAGCTAAAAGATAAGGACTAAGATCTTAAAAGCAATTTGAAAACTCTATGGGAAGGTAGCATGGAAAGTAAAGGACAACCTGGTGTTTTCCCAGTAACACAAGCTACCACAAACACATGCTGCAACATTCTGTATTAGCTAGCTTCCTAAGCACTAAAGGCTTCATGCCCAGGTATCTCATATTGCTATAATCCAGCCAAGGAGTGACGAAGGCGCAAATAACTGAGGCCAGGTCATCATCCGCCAGGATAGGACAGTTTCCTAGCCAAAGCATTACTCGTGGATGCTGCTATGCAGGATCTTGCGACCAGCCAGGAATCCAACAGTACTCCTAAATTACAGGCTGGACTGCTCAAATGGGGATGTGCATCT